TACAGCTTAGAATTTTCCAGCTTGCACGCGAGGGACTACTCGCACGGTGCGAATGAATGAAAATGTAATATTCAGTAAAAAAGTTTTATGTAAAATCAAAAATCTTGCCTATATATATATAGATTTTTCCAATTTTGCAGTTGAAAAAAATAGACATAAGTTTGCTGAAAAGTGTTGAAATATTTTTAGAAAATTAATCTACAGAAAAATATATAGAATAAAATTGCTTTTTTTAACTGAAGAATTTCGAAAAAAAAATGTAAAATTTGTAATAAAACGATATTCGAAGAACGTTGAAAGGAATACTATAAATGCAATGGAATCTAAATTTCCCAGCCGATTTAGGATTTGACTCACGATACAATTAGACGAAAAGGATTATTGGGTCCAAGGCTAAACGTAGGCATCAAGTACATTCAAGGCCGCGAATACTCGTTTCAACCACGCATCCTGTGGTTGAAATTTTCTGAAGGTGGGATACATTCGCATAAGTAATTATACTCGAGACTTGTCGCGCGGGGATACGTTTATATATACATATGCAGTCATAAAGCACTGATCGTTTCCTCTGCCTTTGCATGGCTCGAGGCGTGTCTCGTCGGCGACGTAAAATCAGACAGCCGACGGGAATTTCGATGAAACTTTCCTTTTTTTCATACCGTTCCTGCACAAGATTTGCATAATTCGGTCTTTACAAAGCTAGCGATATCTCTGACACATGGTGCTTCTGTCGCCTTTTATGCATCATTTTTCAAGATAACGACATTTACATATGTTGATTCATGCGTCTCGCCTCTCGAGATTGAGGAGAAATTATCAAATCGAATTCCCGTTGAGATTTTGCTGTTTGCAAATATGCAGTATTTCATAACTCTATATATCACAAGACACAACAGAAAGATAAACAGTCTATAAAAATTAATTTTGCTGTTCTTTTATCGATATTAATTCATTACTTCATCAACTGGCGGTTATCGAAATATTTTTGAAGTAATAATATTATCGCGCATTTATTTCGAATTATATTTACGAAGAAAAAACGCGCGTTGCACAAATCTTTTTAAAATACGCGAATATTTCCAATGTGTGTACAATTATGTGAAACGACAGGTTTCTGGTGAAATGATAGTTTCTCGACACGCAGGAAATATTAATTTCCACCTGAAGTTTATACGTGGAAAATCTGGAATCCAGAGCGTCGACGAGGAATTCCCGGCATGCGGGATCGAAACGCATTGGTAAGTTCGGTCTCGAGGAGCGGCATACACACCGAAGCCCACTCACCTTCCTTCCTTTTCCCTTCCCTTTTCGCCTGTGACTGTTAGGTCGCTGTCGAGATCCTTAGGCCAGCGTTAGAACTGCGAGCGGGAATTCTTTCACGTCGAGTCCGCGGTTACCTGCGGTGCGTGAGAACACGCCGGGGCGAAATAGGTACATTTAATATCTCATACAATCCGCAATTTTAATGTTTCCTCGTTTTCGCAACCCACGTTCTGCCGCATTAACGTCGTTTCTGAATTAACGTTAAACTCGCTAGGAAGAAAGTAAACTTGAAATTGTATTCTGATAAATATCTTCATAAACAGCGTAAAAAAACGAAAAGATATGTAAATAAAATACTAGTGTAACAAAATTTCTCCAACAGAGCGTGAATTTTAGAATTTATACTTTCAATATATTTAATGCCGAAAATAAAAAAAAGAGAATAAGCCGTTCTATTAAATGTTCGTAAACTTTCGCCGAGGAAAAGTTGCCTACAAATTGACGAAATGGACAGGAAGCGCAGAGAGAACTTGGAACATCCTGTACACAGTCCTTACTTGGGAGTTCCATCCGTCGAGCGTGCTCGCCGATTTTTTTTTTTTTCCTTTTCTCATTAGCCGTAACCGCAGCCAAGGTAGCGGCGCGTAATTTAAGAAAAATACAATGAGCCTTTCTGTTACGTGGAAACGTAGGATCGCATTCCCACCGACGATGGTCACAAATCGCCGTTATCAGATCTTACGAGTTATCGTTAGTTGCGCAATCGACTTAACGCGCGATATAATTCTACGACCGAAATTCGTTGGCACGTAAAATCGTATACGCACTTTTAATGGAATGACAGCGTAGACCGGTCACTCGGCGCTACTGAAAGCGGCACCCATTTCTCTCTCTCGTTAAAACCAAGTGTCCTATAAAAACACGTCACTATAATAGTTTATCTCCACCGATATTAAATTGCGGCCGATATAAAACAATCGTGAGCCATTCTGAAATTCAAAACATTCACAATTTAATTTATTCTATCGCGATTATTAATTCATGCATTTTAATTGCATCAAATTGGTGTTTTATTCAATTAATGTAATTTAATTTGCATTTATGCGCATATTTGTATTACTTTATTATGAATTATTTTTTAATATGCACGCCGAATGATTGATCAACAATTTCAATATTTCGGTTCAACAATTTATAATATTATTCATTATTTTTATAAGCATTTGTAATGTGATTTATCATTCATGCGATTAATCGCGCAGTAATTTATCGCATATTGGAAGCGTTTTTCGACTAACGCTACACAATTACGATGAAATTTAAAGACCAGCTCCGTTTCGTCGTGGAAGCACTCGTCGCAACGTCACCTGTCATCGCGCGAAATGACAAGCGATCGTCGTGCCTGTCACATAACAATACCTCCTTTACATTCCCACGGCGTCCAATCTCGTCGTAAATTGCAAAATTGACTTCGAACAGCTTGCTCGTCGGTGAAAGCGAATCGAAATTACTTATCGCCTAACGAGTACCTCTTTATTACTTATTTCTGCGTGCCGGACTGATTTACGTTTAGCGATCGATTTAGCAGAATCATTAGAGAATCACGAGCGAGATCTCCGAGCCGAACGTCCGCTCACCCGCGCTGTTTACACTTTCAAAACTATGAACGGGCTCAGCCGACTGAATAATTAAGCCGTAGTCAATGACTCGGATAATACTTGGTATTCCAATAGGGACAGACATAAAACTAAAAGAGAAACTTGAAGAAGAAGCCCGCGGTTTTTCTCGTCCGAGCGCTTTATCGTTCGCGTAAAGCGTGTTGTCGCGCGAGTCGTCGTAATCTCGCAAGCTGTAAATTATTTTTATGCAAGTTTGATTGCAATCAGATTACCGGCATTTATATTATTGATATACAAGACAATTCAATTGCCTTAATTAAACAATTGTTCTTTATATCTTAATCAATAATGATGATCAATAATGATTAATAGTTCTCGCGTCTCAAATTCTTCTCGCGTTTTCTGTAATTGGCAAAGCTTTAACAATTTGATGAATATTTAATTTCGTTAATTTTATCAGCGGCTTCCAAAGCCGCACATTAACGTGCAAACGTATCGCACAGGAAACGCATGACTTTTCTTTAATAACTAGACACGCAACCTTTACGTAAACTTGTTAGTACGTTTATGACCCAGCGTTATGAAATAGCAATCGTTGCGATTACGCAAACGCGATTGACAGCATACGGTTGCGTTCGCTGAATGTATTTGCAGGACTCATTGAAGGAATATCGTGCGTAATATCACGGGGCTCGCAGAGCGTTAAACGACACTAATTGAACGTGTGCACAGTTTTATTTAGCAGCAATTTGCGTATCACAATACATGTCTATATTCGAGAATAACAATATGATTTGAAATAATTCTTTACATTGACAATTAAATGTCGAGTAATTATTCACAATTAAGTTTTCATAGTTTCGAAAGGTTCTGTTGAATTCACTGGTATTTTCCAACTGGTAGAACTTGTTTTCTTTTATTGCAACGACGTGAAAATATGTTGAAACTGATAAGTTTGAATCTTCATATGTTTCCTTTTACTCCTTAGATATGCAGATACTTACTTAAGTAGTTTACTCGCTGTTTAACGCGAGAAGCAGCCATCTGAATAGGAATTTCTCTTGGAACAAATTCAGAATTTCACATTCCTCGCGCATAGTTATGCAAAAGACAAATTGTCGTCTCGGCTTCTTGCGCTCCTATCAGGATTATCGACGTGGATCTTGTGACGCATCAATTTACACACGACGCGATAAACCTCGCGATTAAGAAACGAGGAAGACAAATACTACTGTGACAATCGTTTCGCGATTTCGAAATGATTTATAAAGACTCATCTGAAACTTCACTTCATCCACAATCGCAAATCGCTTGCATAATGCATTGTCAATTCATTCTTTATAAATATTTCAGACAACATTAGTGTCGGCTATTAGGTAATCTGAAAAATATTTCTGACGATTAATTAATTAAGTTATTTTTAATAATTAGCGATAAAGGAGCCGCGTATTGCGCAAAGCGCTGCATTAAAAATAAAAGCGAAACTTGCGAAAACTCGAGGCAAGCTAATCGCGCGTAAAACCGCGTCTAATGCGAAACAGGCGGAGAAGGAAGTGAAAAGTGAACGAGGCTACGTGCGTGCGCGTTGAAACCGCGGCGGAGTGTCCGGCGAGCGATTAGCTCCATTGAGCGTCGAGCGTTTCACCTTCGCGAAATCGAAGTTCGATAAATCGCGGTTGGCGAAGGAACAGGCATGAGGAAAGACGGAATTCCAGACATGTTTGGCGAACGAATTAGGCTCATTGGAATTTCACTCCGGGGGCAAGGCGGGGTTCTCCTCTGGACTTTCTTGAGAGCCAAGTATGGTGTCCGCCTGACCCGGTAGCCGGATACGCGTCGCGCTACGTGCAAGTATCGCCGTTGCTGTCAATTAAATTGTCGAACCCGCACGCTGCACCGGAGCGGCCTGGCAACAACAATATCTTCATGACTAGCCCGACCGGCGGAATGCGACGCGAAAAAACCGGGCGCGCATAAATTAAACCGTGGAGCGCGGAACCGCCAATTAGGATTTTCGTGCGCCCTTGCTCGCCCGTGACAAATTATTGCCTGACACATAATTCAGAGCCCCCTTTCAGCGATACATTCGTAATGGGAACCGTGGCCTCTCTGTTTCAGTTGTAATCAGCGCGGCACATCCTGGTTACCATGCCGTACTACAACAGTGGTCACAGTCCCGCTTACAACAAAGGTGAGTTCTCTCATTCGCATTGCGAAATAAAAGCTAATTACACTTCAAAGCGAATCATCAGTCGCTATCGTTCGTCCGGTAATTGCGTCCGATTTACTTTTCGTCGCGATTTGCCGAAACAGAAATGGAAGAGACTTACGAGATTCGGCAAAATTGAAAACAGTTCAACAATATCTTTCATTTAAAGAAATAAAAAAAATATGGAATATTGAAGAAGAGGAACTTTGTGTGAGATTGCGCGCGTTGGAGGAGTTGAGAAAAAGTTTGCAGTAACATTTCAATTATTTTAGTGATATTGCGATAATAAAAAGGAGAATTTTAATGAACCAGTTAATTAAAGTGACTCTCACGTTTCAGATGGAGGTTCCAGCGGGCCGTCGAGCACTTCGGGCGGCCGCGCCAGCAGCTCGGAGCCGACGTATATGATGGAGCACTTGGCCACGTTCACCGTCACGAAGGAAACCGGTATTGTTTATCCGGCGGACGGTATGCGCCGGCTCCTGCAGCTGGAGAAAAGCAATGGCATTTGGAGTCAAAAAATGCAGCTCCGTCTGGAGCGAAACTGGGTCCTTATCATGGACAACGAGACAGGGGTAATTTTTCTCGTTTACACCGCGCGCGGCTTCCACCGTGAAACTCATCCGGAAAACGTGTTTGCGCGACCTAACGACGCCGTTAATTAAATCCATATATTTTACCGCGTCCTCGATCCCTCGATATAACTGTATTAAGCGGCAGCTTCCTTCGTCGAAGGCCGCCACGAAATGATATCGTATGCGAAATTAATTGTTTGACACGGTTGAAGGCTATCCGTATAATTTATATCAGCGTTTTCGAATCGCCATGTCACGCGAGAAAGTAGATCGTTCGCGAAATTGCCGCACGCACAATCGGCGACAGTTTCACTTAACGACGTACGACGACATTTCAGGCCGTCATGGAGCGATTCCCGGCGGCGCTGATACAGGAACCGACGGCGTTCACGTCCAGGGATCCCATGGAGATGTACAACAACATTCTGGTCTTCACCGTGGCCGACGACAGCGGTTCCGGCCAGCGGGCTGAAATGCACATATTCCAGTGTCAGAGCGTGTCGGCGCAGGATCTTGTCGAGGATCTAAAGATGCTGCAAATGGGAAAACTGGTCACAGGCGGCTCGCCTAGAGGTCCGAGGGGTCATATTCCACCCCCGCCCGCCCTGCCGCCACCGGAACCACCTCTGAACGGCGTCAGCGTCAGGGAACAAGTATCCGCTTTCAACGCGAATGGTGAATATGCAGTTGTTGAAGATCTAAAATTACTCACTGAAAATATTAAGAATCGAATAATATAAAGTATTTGCTGTCTGACAATAATTGAAATTCTGTAGCATTTTTGAAGGAATACAGAGTTATTAACTTGTGAATTTAAATTGAACACAGCAGACGGCCAGAACGACATATCCCGCGAAGAGAACAATGACGAGGTGTCGTCGACGTCGTCGGAGAAGTACGAGCGCGACGTGACGATTCTGAATCACTGTTTCGACGATATCGAGAAGTTTATCGCGCGCCTGCAGCACGCGGCTGCCGCGTCCCGCGAGCTGGAGCGCCGTCGGCGCAATCGAAAGTCGAAGAAGAGAAACCTCGGCGACGGCATGTTGACGATGAGAGCGAAGCCGCCGCCCGAGATGGAGTTCATCGACATCTTCCAGAAGTTCAAGCTCTCGTTTAACCTGCTGGCCAAGCTCAAGGCGCACATCCACGATCCTAATGCGCCGGAGCTCGTGCACTTTCTCTTCACGCCGCTTGCGCTGATCGTGGACGCTTCTCACGACACTAATTACGACCCGAACTTACCCAGTAAGGTAGTGTCGCCGTTACTAACGCGAGAAGCGGTCAATCTGCTAATAAACTGCGTGACCAGCAAAGAGACCGAGCTCTGGCACTCGCTGGGCGACACGTGGCTGATACCGCGCGACCAATGGAAGGGCCATGTCCCGCCGTACCACCCGATCTTCATGGACGGCTGGTCACCGGAGTATCCCATCCCCGAGGACAGAGATCACGATCACCTGGCGTCCTTGCTGAACGCGGACAAGCAGAAGAGGGACGAGTTACCGGAACAGCAGAACGATTCTTACTACAACCATCGCGATGTTGATGAATCGCATTACAGCAGCGACTATCTGGAATACGAGAGCCGGGAGGAACGCGGCGGTAACGAGTACTTCGACAGGAATTACGGGCCCAGCTCGGAGTTGTACGGACGTGAAGACCGAGTGGATCAGACCAGGGCGCACAGCGACATTTCCGTGGATTCGATCGAGAGAGCTCCCAGAGCGGCCGCTGGCCTGGACAGAGCGCAAGAAGCGTGGCTGGACGAGCTGGTGGCGCGTCACGCTAAAATCGTGCAGGTCACTTATCCGCGAACAGCGAACAACGACAAGGAGCTCACGGTGGTGAGAGGCGAGTACTTGGAAGTTCTCGATGACAGCAGGAAATGGTGGAAGGCGAGGAACTCGCGAGGACAGGTTGCTCACGTACCGCACACTATCGTCACGCCGCATAATCCCGCCGCTCATTCCGCTGATAATGATGTCTTTAACAATCCTCTGTACACCAGCAGATACCCGAGGCAGGGGCATGGCTATAATTATGAGGTGAGAGTCATCGAGCGGCGAACACACCCTTCCTGAATAACTTGTCGATGAATAATTGTGTACGGTGCGCAGCACCGAAGTATACGTGAATGAAGTATATGTTTTGCAGACGTTTAACTCGGTGAAAAGAGAGGTTAAATTTTCAACGTAATCGTGTTCTACATATTTTTTTTATATTTTGAAACACAAGAGAGATATTTGAATGTTTTTTTTTTTCTGTACAAAATACTGAAATTAGTTAGAAAATTAATTATAAATTTCTGATGTTTCTGTATATTAGTGAAATATTTATTGCCAGTTGTAAAATAAGTTTTTGCTGTCTCTAACGAAATTGACCATTCGCAGGATTCGGAAATTGAGAGAACCAGCACTAGTCCAGGTCTGGAAGCTACTCACCGAACACACGCGATTCCGCCGCCGGCGCCTGCAGATTGGGTGAGAAAGGAAAGACTCGGGAAAAAAGGTGAATTTCGATACTTCTAAGCCATTTATCCAGCTCGCGATTGTGAGTATCCTTGTTTTTACTCGAACACGGGCAATCTCTTATCGGGAAAATCGTTAAACTACGAAGCGCATCTTTCGTCGCCTCTCATATAAATAAGTCTCGATTTTTCGAGCAACATTTAATGTCTTCCAAAATCGAAAGATGCTCTTTTAATTCACGACTCCAGAGTCGATTTATTATCAAATATAATCGTTAAATGCGATAAAGCTGATATAATAAGAAAGATAAGAAAATACGCGCATCACGTTAGCTTGTAAACGAAATGTAGCATAATTAACCGTTAGATCACCGTCACGTTTCAATTAGCGCATTTGTCGAAGGGTGTTGCAATATCCTATGATTTCCTCTTGAACGTGTACATATACAGAAGTGCGGGTAAATATTACGTAACTGAGCCATTCACATGATTGCAACGGGGCGTGGTACTTTTAAGTTCTTCGCATCGCAATTATTCTGATATATCGTTTAGAGTGACGCGGATGAATCTTGCTTTTTCTCTACAAGTATATTGCTCTCGCATTCCTTACGAGACCGCGTCTTTATCTCAGCCTCACACACGGCCCGCAACATTGCAGTCTAAACCGCACGATCGCTGTTCGTAGAGTTAATTACGTTCTCAATGAGTTAGCAATAATTCGTTTATAATGTGAATATTCATAATAATTTTTATTTCCGAAGGCAGATTGATTATTCCGTCGAGTCTCCTTTATCGTTATCACGCACAGCCGTATCGTTATCGCAGATAGAACAATGTGATTGGCTGGCAGTCAGAAGTAGAGAAGCGCAATGACGATACGGCGAAGTAAATTATATTGTTGAGGGAAACTAGTTCCCTACGTAATATAATTGTTGTCAGGCATTTTCGTACGAAAGTTAAGATATATATATTTCGCGACCACGTTATAAAATTCATTAATGATGTAAGCACTCCGTCCGACAATGAGATCTGTTTAGGGACTGTCAGGTATTCGTGACTATCAACCACAGATACTTTAAGGCATTCGATAAATCACGAATTTCGCGCTTATCCGAGGTGAGAGAATCGATAATGACGATTGTTAGTCTGGCTCTTAACGTGGTTGAGAGTTACCGAATTAGTTTCTAATACGCTGTACTTTTTGATAATCGATTGTACCATCACATATGATATCTTTCTGTATTTATCGACTAACCAAATTTAGCTATAGTTTATATAATGGCAGAATGAAGATATATATATATATATACATATATATATATTATATACGCATTATTTTTTACGCAGAATTATATGATATGATGGAGCGTTAACCCACTGAGATCGGGTATCTTTCCGTTAGAAAATATCTATTATATATATTAGGTTGGTGCAAATGAAATAGCCGTTTTTCGTATTTTAAACTTTCCGCCTTTGTAGTTCATCTTTCTTTACTCAGATAGTGCTGTATGTATACCATTTGACAAATATATGTCTTAAGTGTGAATTTGTATACATAACTTTATTACTTATTTACTACAGTATTAATTATTGAAGTTCGCATTAAAGGCAACATGGAAAATAAAGAGATTCGTTTAATTTATTTATATGAGTTCAAACTCGGTCATAGTGCGGCTGAGGCAACGCAAAACATTAATACTACTTTTGGCGAAGGTTCTGCCAATGAAAGGACGACGAGGTGTTGGTTCAAAAAGTTTCGGTCTGGAGACACAAATCTCGACACTTTACCATGCACCCACTGTCATTGACAACGCCGTTTTGAATGAATACGATTGAAGCAAATCCGAGAACAACGGTTCGAGAAATTGCAGAAAGACTCAGTATCCATCATTCAACTGTCGTTCGACATTTAAAAGCCATGGGAAAAGTAAAAAAGTTGGATAAATGGGTTCCCCGTGAACTGATAGAAAAGGAAAAGATGAAACGTTTAGACCACACATTGCGAAAAAAACCGTAAAAAAACTAGACGAGTTGAAGTTCGAAGTTCTTCCTCATCCTCTTTATTCTCCAGACATTTCACCAACAGATTACCATCTATTTAAGCATCTGGATGGGTTTTTAACTGGGAAAATTTTTCAAGAAGAAAAACTTGTAAAAAATGCATTCCACGAATTCATCGACTCTCGTTCTTCAGATTTCTTTAAGAATGGCACTTGTATGTTGGCAAAAGTGCATTGAAGTAGATGGAGACTATTTCGATTAATAAAACAAATTTTAAATTTGTCAAATAAAAGTCTAAAGTTTATCACTAAAGTAAATTAAAAAACGGCCATTTCATTTGTACCAACCTAATATATATAAATATATATATAAATAAAGCAATGCAAGTTATACACCGAGTGTGAAACGATATTTTACGTATCATACCTGAACTCAAGCGGTTAAATTAATTGGGATAATACTTACATTATATTTTCATTGAAGCTACAGCAAAGTTGTGTGTTTGTCCTTTGTCCTTGGGAGCTTCATTAGAGGAGTGAGAATAAGTTCTACGGATTCGATAAAGGCTCTTGATAAGAATCTTGTGGGAAAATATGCAGGAAAGGAGAAGCGGTTTCTTGCTATTACAATACACTTTCATGTTTATTGTATATTCTCTTTTTTTTTTTATCAATAGCTTTTATTGAGACAATTCTTTCTCCTGATCCCGCTTGTACGTGTCGTCGCATGCATTTTGTATGTATTACTGTAAATAAGCTTGTACAAACGGTAATTGAAGGAAATGTGCTAAAAGAAGAAAAAATATAAAAGAAATGAGAGATAAAAACAGGATTTATAATACTTTCGATTTATTTCATTCAATCTCATTTATCTTATAAAAGAAAGAAATTTTTATAAATTTTATCGCAAATAGTATTTGTAATTTCTTCAGCAAATGGGAAATGTTTTTTTTTGTACAATTAATTCTGTCTTCCTTTCATTAACATCAATATATTTCTAATTAAAAATTTTTGGTATAAAAAAATGGAAAAGGTACAAGCATAAAAGATTTACCATTATTTCTTGTGACTTGCATTATTTATTATCGTGTATTTAAACCATCTTCCAAATCTCGCAACCCGTATCAAAGTGTTGACTTAAACGAAATAATAACTAGTCGACCACGAAGTCAATAAGCAATATAATAATCGCGGACAAGCAGTACAAGCTTTTGTTAATTCTTCTGTCGCAGATGTATTCCCTTCACGCTCCTTTATTTATTGTTAAACTACGATATCGCAGTCGTGTTGAAAACGCTCTTTAGAATACAGCAGTTGAGAGAAATCGCGGCGTATATATTTTTCACGAGGATTCACAATGTATAAATGTAAACGTAGCTGTACGCGTTATCTCCCCTTTACTTCTTTTCAATGATCAATCGGAGCCTCTTAGCTCTCGATATTTATAATATGTGTGTCAACGGGCCGGGGATACGATCCGTCCAGTATTTCTTTACACTGTAATTTATGTACATCACTTATTATTAATAAACATTGTACTTGTAGGAATCGTCGTCGTCCCGTTCATTCTTCCTGTCTCCTGCGAAATCGTAACGACTATTAGACATAGTTGTATTAGCGTTTCGTTGTATCTTGTTTAGTGCAGTGACCGAGATATGTAACGTGTGTTAACGAGCGGACATGCATACTTGACAAGTGGTGATTTATTAGTAGAAATTAAATTCCAACTTACAAAGTTTTTACGATGCTTGAACTATGCTTGAGTGTGTGTTTGTCCAATATATCTAAGACTGTGCGTTCCGTGCGAAAGCTTTGGGGTAAGTTACAGTCTTTTCACGTTTTTTAAAAGCTTCTTTTTATTTCAGCATGCATTACGATTTATTCACGGGCGAGACAAACGCTAAACTTTACGCATGGACGAATAATTCCCTTTTTAACCCACTTCAATTATTTCAAATTAATGTTGCAAAATGATTTTGCAGACAACATCAGCGCGTACAATGGAGCTATTAGTCACAGCAATAGGTCCAGCATTTCCTCCATCGACAGTATTTCCGAAGCGAACGGCAGAATACACACGCAGCAGAGCATCGTGGAGGTGCACTCGCCGCCCCGTGATTTAATGCCGGATATAATCGGCAAGCCGGATTCACCACCGCCAGCATTATCTGCACCGACATTACTGTTAGCACCACCTGCGTCGAAGCCGATACCAGCATTACCAGCACCGAAGCAGATACCAGCACTACCCGCACCGAAGCCAACCTCGAAACAGCTGCCTGCGTTGCCTGCGTTGAAATCAACGCCCACGCTATCCGCGCTGAAGCCGGCACTGGTGCTACCGGTCGCGAAACCGATAGTATCATCTGCATCCAAATCAGCACCGGCATCACCTGCATTAATGCCAACGTCAATCGTGCCTTTAACGCCTCCACCGCCTCCGCCGCCCCCGCCGTCCACGCCATTAACTCCTGCCCCGCCAAATCAAATTCAGAAATTTGCGCCAGTGGGAACTTCTACGCCCAACAAAACGGACACTTTTAAAAGTACGAAATTTTCCAATGGTGAGTTACGATAATTCTGGCTTTTGACTTCTTTGGCTTGTTTGTTAAAATTGGAGTTTACTTCATTTGTGCCTGATGAGATATATAGATTTTGATCAAGTTGGCAATGATTATTAATATATTACATGTACTTATGACATACGTTGCTTTCGAAAGGTACCTCCAATCAAGATGAAGTTCAAAAGGAGCTCAAGTTCGTCCTGACAATGTTCCGAGAGAAGAAAGCGAATTCTGCTCTCAGCAATGACACGTACGAGGTTTGGTTGACTCAACATTCGACCCCTCGCGAAGTCCAGGCTTGGTTGGCGGCGAAAGGATTCTCGGAAAAGTACGTCGAATGTATATCATCCCGACATGAGTGATGCCGAATGTGCTCGTGATTCATTGATCAATGATACATTTGACTTGCAGAATTCGCAAGCAATTGGAGGAGATGAACGGTACAGATTTGTTTAATTTACCGCGACGGCGATTAGAGCAATTATGCGGATTGTCTGAGGGCAGCAGACTTAACGGCCAATTAACCCTAACGAAGAACGAATGCGAGGTGAGGTGAATCTTAACGAGAAAACCTGGTGACGTCGTGTCATTTGTGAATTTTATTTTCAGTACAAAACCGCTCGATCGTCGGAGCTCAGGCAGGTTTTAGAAAAGGCGCGCCGAAGAGCAGAGGAGTTAAACGACAAGGATGAAGTCAGCGTGTGAATCATATATTTTTCACATTCCGCGGTGTGTGCGAGAATGCCGCGAGGATGATGCAATTAACGATACAAACAAGCGTTACGTTATGCGAAGACTGCGAAGTTGAAAAGAACGAAAGGTAAAATAAAATAAAGTATTTTTGTCATAATGTTTTTTTGCAGAAAGTGAACAAAAATACCGTTGAATTTTATTTTATTTTATCTCACACATTGTGATAATTAGCTAATTATGAATCGAAGCAATATCGCATACCAAAGAAACGAATGTTAGTAAGCCGGCAGGCTTCCATTAAATACCGGACGATTACCTGTGATGTCTTTTTTTGCGAAAATACGAGCAATATTATCCGTTTGTTGTATTTTAATGAACTTACTCATAGAGATAAGTTGTTTTCCAATACGCTTTTTCGGAATCGGAAACCCAACTAAGGGGTATTTTCAACTAAGGTATTTAATTTGTTATGTGAATTTATTGTACATATATATAAATCAAATTTCAACGTAACAACTTTAGCGACGTCGTATCGAGCGCGTTAAATTGAATGTTGCGAAGCGAATATGCTACGAATATGCAAACGACACTGAGATTAAAACGTAGTAATTAAAAAATATGTAACTGATATGTAATATCTATGACAAAAGTATCGCAACAATTTATATTTCACTTGTAAAATAAATTGTTATAAATTTAATTTAAAAAATAGAAATAATTTGCGTGAATATATCAGTTTACATATTTCTGGTCCTTTATTTTATACGAAATGAGAAATATCTAAATTTGTAAAAGTCAATCAATCTTTACATTATCGATTTGTTAAATAAAGTCACCGATTGTGTTATTATTGACGTCACATTATATTTATTTAAAGCGATCACATACATTGCAGTAGACACAAATGAAATAAATCTAATTATGCTTTAAATATATTTTTTGCGAATATTCGACACGAGATCATAAAACGTGAACACATTGCGAAGTGAATTGTCAATTCAATATCATGCGCTGAGTTTCCGTGCTCCGAGAGAGTTTAGCTCGATATTATAGACTTTAACAAGAGGTGCGAGATTGAAGAAATTTAATTTGAGGATTTAAATAACAAAAGTGGATTTTTATTAAAGGAATATATTTCGATAAGAGGTTATTCTTCGATCTGAATACATCTTTTTCCGTATATTTCTAATAAATTCTACGAATAATTGATGTATATTTTTTCGAAGATCTACAACTAATACTCCTTCAAATAAAATCGACAATTCAGCTGATAACAACACGTTAAAATATTTCTGTGACGTACAAGATATTTTATAAATCAATGGTCGCATTTGTGTTATAATTTGCTAATTAATATTTGTTTTAAAAAAATAATCCCTTCCTCGATTAAGCAGCTCTGAATAATTTTGCAAGAAAAGAACACAGGAAAGAAAGTATTTTGCTAGTCATAGTAAATTTTTAGAGAAAGTGAGCATTGTAAATACAAAAGCTACAAAAATGTTTCTACTCCACAAGTAATCTTACGATACATACCCCGATAACCGCTAATGCAGAGATGTCTAAAAATGTCTGCAAAATTTGGATAAAAAATGTCCTAAAAAACTTTTGATTTCCAACTGACTTGTTAAAAAATCTCCTCTCGAAAATCGATCCACATCGACAACAGTAAAACAAAAAAACTTTGGTCTTTCACACCGACTGTTTTGCGTAAGCTCTAGTCGTACACGATTTGAGATTCTTACACATTAGTGATTACACAATTATTATATTCATTATGCGATGATAACGATTATGCGATTACAATTTATTATCTTTGTTACATCCTATATCTTTATTATAGTGTCAAATAATCATTTGTAGTAGTACTTTCAGACATCCTAAGTGTTAACGTGGATAAAGTATTACCAGAGAGGGAAAGATTGATGAAGACACGCAGTATTTCAGTAGCTTCAGTCAGATATATAAAAAAGCGGAAGGATTTCATGTTACATAGATTCTTACAGATCGGAATGTTGGGAAATTTGGATTAAGTGAAATGATGAATTATGTGACACGCGAAGACGCGCAAATCTGCGAACACGCCTCTCAACTTGAGAAAAAATTCTAACCGTTTCTCAATCAGTGAATGTGTGCATTTCTTATAAAACACGATTATGTAGTTTTTTTTTCTTATCGTGATGTTTTTCTTACAGTGATGGTATATGAGCGTTATCTAAAATTTGTGCGTCGTTTTTATGTCGTGCTCGCGAACGCCGCGTGAAAAAGCGGAGAGGCTCGATAATTATCGCTGCAAGCTGCTGATAAGATCTGCGTACATCTACACACTCGACAGAGTCTTATATCGCTGGTACGTCTATTATTAATCAGTGTATAAATCATTCGACCTAGATACGATCACCGCCTCCTGGTATAATTGCGTCTAAGATTCTACAGCAAGTATAAATTTATCGAAAATGCGATTGTAAAAAGGCGATCAATGTTTCCTCCGGGTCACACGCTTATGTTGACGACGTAATGCTAATTCAACAATCACAATCGATTTAGAATGCAACATTCAATCTCAACACTTTCAGTAAAACTATGCGAAAACACATGTAAACCTCTGCAATATATTAGTTACATAACAATGGTTATTTAAATTAACATAAACTAAAATCGCATCTTCATATGTACATTTAACGTCCTAATTAATTGCGTTTACCGAAATATTTCCTTGCTGACCGTAATTTAACGCAATAATTAACATACTTTGTTGTGAAATAAATGAAATATGTGAACTGAATTGAAATAAATAAATATAAATATATCTCTCTCTTCGTAAGTAGCTAAAATATTTCAGGTTCAATCTACAGCTACTAATGATACACAATTGTGCTGATGAAAGCCACTGGGCTTCAAATAACAACGAAAATACAGCGGACATCGATTGCTTGTCATTCGAAATAAAAGTCCGAAACGCAATTTCAATAGCTTTTGATTATATAGAAGCATATATATTGTTATGCCTTAGAGTGCAACTATTCCATACACATACATATGTATTTGTATAACTTGTTTTGTCATAAGCACAATTTTTATCGATACTGCTAGGAGTAGCAACTTATTGAGTCTTTCGCTCTTCTTTTTTTGGAGCCACAACTATTGCTCAGGCATGTTATTCTGCTATAACGATTTCACATACATATACATATGCATTTGTATAACAAGACTACGTAATAAATAAACATAACTCTTTATCGATGGCCCAATAAGTAATAACTTGTCAAGTCATTCACTTTTCTTGAGCCGCAACTCTTGCGATGCGAGTTCTCTTTAAGCCTACAATATTATCATGGTATAGAGTGCAACTATTCCATATACATATACATATGTATTTGTTTAACATGTTACGTCATAAATAAACATAACTCTTTATCGATGGCTCAATGAGCGTTGCAACTTATCAAGTCCTACACTTCTCTTGAGCCGCAACTCTTCTTTCAATGTGAGTTCTGCTTATTGACAATAAACAAGCAATACATATTATTCTGCTATATAGTCCAACTATTCCATATACATATACATATGTATTTGTATAACACATTACGTCAGAAATAAACATAACTCTTTATCGATGGCCCAATGAGCGTTGCAACTTATCAAGTCCCACACTTCTCTTGAGCCGCAACTCTTTTTTAATGTGAGTTCTGCTTATTGACGATAAACAAGCAATACATATTATTTTGCTGTATAGTCTAACTATTCCATATACATATGCATATGTATTTGTGTAACATATTACGTCATAAATAAACATAACTCTTTATCGATGGCTCAGCAAGCGTTGTAACTTATCAAGCCCTTCACTTTTCCTTGAGCCGCAACTCTTGTGTGTAGTGCGAGTTCTCTTAATCATTGACGATAAACAAGCAACTATCTTATTAATAATAATGATAATTGTGACTAATATATCACAATTGCTTCTTTTTTACTTTGTGAATAAAATATTTCTAGCTGGTCATCTCATTTTGTTTAATTTCTTTCTCCCGAATAAAGCGAATATACGATAGATATAATGTGAAAAAATTACATTTTGCGTTAAAATTCATGTATATGTAATAGATAACAAACGCTCTTAAGCTTGACCTTGGAACTTTCAGAACTATCCATAATCAATTCATATAGTTGTCGGCAGCGTGGAGATTTTACTTGGACGCTAAATAACACTTCTTAATTTATAACGTAACATAAATTATATACAAGACGTTTACGTTTGTGCAACAATAAATAAATCTTGAAGAGTAACGAGGGTGATCTCAAACGAAGTTGCTTGAAAGAAAAACTCGTCGAGAATGTGAGTTCCGAATGTGAAAATCGGCGAATGGACCAAGGTCAATGATTCAAGCACGCCGGGTGATACAGTGCAGCGATGAAGCGACAATGGAGTGAGAGTGTGGAATTAATATGAATACGATTAATATGAATGCATGAACGTACAATTTACTGGCCAGCGGCTTCCGCATCCTCCTTCGACAGGACAGACCTTGATCGATGAGAATATAATAGTATGAAAAACGACTTAGCGTAATATTTGGCGAATAGCGAACCCGAAAGCACGGGATTGATACTCTTCGAAACGAGATGAAAATGTCTAAGTGTGTTGATAAACGAGAGGAGTTCGACAAGGGGAGGGAAGGGGGATGAAGTTCCATTCTCTCATTAAGTGATTCCTTATATACGCAAAGCAAATCTTGACGCTCTCTTTTGTTTTGTATAAATTACCAAAAGCCTCCTGCACTGCGGCCGCCCGGTGGATTGTTCACGCGAATGCATGCCCTTCGTCCTTCGTCGATGTCCTCTGCAAGAAGAACGCGCTTATGTTCCCAAAGTACGAACGGGCGAACACGAGCCGATTGAGTTAAAGTATGCGGTATTCCCCCGCGATATCATGCTTGTAGAATGTAGGATTCCCTTATCAGTGTTACGAGACCACCAGAAGAGAAATGTTAAACGCCAGATATGTAAAGATTCGACAGTAAGTTCGAGACTCACCGCTGATGGAGAAAGTAGTGTCCTGCAGATTTCTCTGCCCTTCGAGTCTCGGGCCTCTCGTGGACGGCGTCACCACGGCGGAATCCGGCAAGGTGGGTAGGAAGCTGGTAGCTGGCAGTTTTATCTTCGGACTGTGAATCGAACCGTTCTGATTGCGCGCCGCGGCAGCGGCCGCAGCCGCTCTTGATGCTTCCCTAGCTCTCGCGATCGCGGCGTCTTCCTCGGCGAATCTTTTCGCCTCTGCTTCCGTTCGTGCAACTCCGCGCGGTATCTAAATGTGCAGTAACAATATATAACACTTTTATAATAAATTTAAATAAAAATCGAATTTTATTCCAATCAAACCGGGATTAATGATGTACTTTTTTAGAATATTTTGTCGGAAATAACAATTATAAAAAGCAATGATAGAAAGACATGTAAAAAAAATAAGAAATTTACCTTTTCCTTCTCGTTTATTATGTCATATACGTAAGCGCCGAATGGCTCCGAGTTCACGTATTTGCCGAATCCGTGAACAGCTTTCAGCTCGCACTCGTCCACGCACACGCGTCCGTTGACGATTACATATTCAGGTACACCAGTGACTTCCGTGCCCTGCAGTAATAATAAAAAATTAAATATTAATTAAAACTGCAGTCACGCAAGAATTCTGTGACAAGCGGCGATCAATATTGTCTCTTGCGACAGAATCGTATGAATAATGCATCGTATTTCATCTACCAAATTGAAAGCGTATGTCTTAATCAAACTAGCCTCGAAGATGTTGAAGTCAACGGCCTGAACGTGAGTCTCGGCGGAAATGGTGCGCTTCCTGTTGGGGTCCCAGACGACAATATCGGCGTCCGAGCCGATGGCTATGACGCCCTTTCGGGGATACAGATTGAAGATCCTAGCGGCGTTCGTGCTGGTGACGGCGACGAATCGCGTGGGGTCCATTATGCCAGCGTGTACGCCCTTCTCCCAAAGCACCGACATCCTATCCTCGACGCCGTTCACGCCGTTCGGGATCTTCGTGAAGTCATCCTTGCCCAACGCCTTCTGCTCAGCGTTGAACGTGCAATTATCGCTACCGATCACTTGGAGATTATCTCTGAAAAACGACCGTATTAGTGCGCCTGAAGATCGAGTGTGAAGATAAAGGAAACTAAAAACTCAACTGATTACCTTGACATCGAATAGGCGGATAAAGTAATCGAAATTAATAACATAAAATTAAATAAGCAAAGAAATTAAAAATTAGAAGGTGGCTGTTTAAGAGCGATCGTTAAACTAGTAGTTTTTCCTCCGCCCGTTTAATTAACATCAATGCGCTGCGCTACACAAGCGACTTCCCACGCAGCTATTAATATCAAGACCAAGACTTATGTCATCCACGTCATTTGTTATTGTAATTTATCGCCGCGAAATAAGCCGGATTTGCGCGAGGAAAAATAGCGCAACGGAGTCATCGAATCGGAAAGAATCTAGAAATTTCAGCGAAGAAAGACGGCAAATTTAATTCAGATTTATGAAAAAAATATAAGATGCGCCAGAACCGTGAAATTTCCTGCCATTTCTTTGGACAATTAAGAATACATTTTCCTCCAACAAATGTCATAAAGTGCTTTTAATAAAAAAAGAATGTAATTAAGGTGATGGAACCCATTCATTATGTAAACATAGGGGGGGATCTTTATACGATCTACTTACTGAGCCAGGTGTTCGGTTAAATACGCAGGTGTCGTTGGATCAGGCCGCAACGGCGGGTTAGTAATAAAACGCCTCGCTCTTCCCATATCTTTGCCATATTGCTCGCTACCGTCGATGCCGACGGCGCTCGCCAGGGTTTCTCCGAAAACGACGACACCATCAGATCGCTTCGCCGACACGACGTCGGCGGCCGACTTGCTCGTGATCGCCGTTACATACAGCGGACTATTCACCTAAACGCGATATTTTTATCCTCTCACTGAAATAACCGCTTTTGCTCTCCTTCTATCATTCTGTATCATTAGACAAAGCGGCTGAAAAAAATTGGTACCGAGATTTTTTGTCACAATTTTCATATACTTCAAAAGTTTTTCGATCTTTCGAATGCATTATTCCTCGCCGTGTGTTAATATTTGCATTTATGGAAATATTTGTATCGAAATAATTAAAATACAACATGCATATATTTAAATGATTAAATTCCAGATATAGGCATGTTATATCACACGGATTGGTATATAATTGAGGAAGAAATTAAAATAGAAAAACCAGAAATTCTTTTCAGCTCAATTTGCCGTCTAACTTTTACAAATACTTCTCACTTAATACTTTTACACCAACTTTTATGTAAACACTTTCACATCAAATACGCAATGCTAAAATAATGGAATGTTTCACGAGAGGGAACAGTGCTGATCACGTAACAGGCACATCTGATAAATAAAAATAAGTGAGCGAGGAGAAAACGACAGCTACTTTCATGCATACGAGTGGGATTTCGTCGGGAACTTCTAAATATAAATTTTAACGTGCGCAATAACGGATAACGGCGTAATTGCACTCTATGCGCGTACATCACGCAAGCTGGATAACGTAGAAACTTACTATTGCCGCAATTGCAACCTATTTCCGCTAATCAACTATATAGAAAGTGCGAGGGGACACAAAGCGAAACAGAACTTACGAATGCAATCGATATTCCGTGCTCCGAATGTGCATGCTGCAGCGTTATTTGGACAACGTCATTCGATCGATACAGTGGGTATGATTTACGGCAAAATACACGTTGACGTCAATGTCGTACTTCTCTAGTCAAGCTTTTCCACTCTCTACGATTTCCCACATTTCTTGCCTCGGTGTACGCTTAGTTATTTAGGAAAAAGTCGCGATCGGCGTGTTACTCCTTTTAGGTAGAAAGCATGATACGTGCTCATTGCATCGATTTCGAATGAAAGTGTCTTCCGACAGCATTCTCGCGGGCAAGATACCGCACTTGGCCAAAGGGGGATTCGCCATTTAAGGACGTCCATAACTGGATCTATGTTTAAACAGCCACGGCTAGCAATTTGCCCTGGACTCTACTTATTGTTGGCTTTAGCTCACGACGATTCAATATATACTTCAATAACGGTGAAACCCCGAATTGCTCGCTTGTGCGTTAAGAGTGCCTACAACGGCTCTGTACACAGCAGCATCATAAATTCACATCTCAGCCCGCTCCGATGTCAAAGTTGTCAAAAAGTCCCGAATTCGTTGCCCCCCCGGGACTCACTTGGCTAACATGTTCACGAGTACTCGCGGCGTATCCGGATCCGGTCTGAGTGGTGGACTGAGAACGTGGCCAGCGGCGTGTCTCCAGCATTTGTGCAAGTAGTTGGTACCGTCTGTGCCGACCGCAGCCGCCAGGGTCTCGCCGAAGACGCAAACGCCGCGTTTACGCGCGGCGTCCACTTGCTCGCCGGCGCTACGACTCATCACATGCACTACGTACAGCGGGCAATTGACCTAAGCATGCAGAATTTCGGTCTAATAAAAAAAAAAAAACAGCAGCAGATGCAACAATGACAAACACATTCGCGTTCTCCTGCAACGTGTAGCCTGCGTTGTAAATATAATTGGTAGAGAAAAAAAATAGAAGAAATTATATTTCTATAATTAATAAATTTATTAAAAAAGTGAGATTTAAGGAAATAAAATTTAAAAAGCTAGAAATAAAAAAAATGATAAAATCTACGGAAATATGATTTAAGAGAAGAAAATGGTGAAAAAGAAAAATGAGATCACGTAGGCATCTTCGAAGCGTCTTCAAGACACTACCACACGACACAGATATTTTTTGATCCCGGCGAGATTATAGTGAGAATTTCGGACATTTGGCAGATGCCGAAAAGTAGCGCTCTGCGTCGTCCTGAATTCTAATCCGCGCCAAGATTTATGAACGTTCTTGAACTGAATACCGGCTAGGGATAGCGTGCCAAGTGCATCCATAATAGAACGTCGAAAAACGGACAAATATGAAAAGACTTTGCGTGCTGATGTACATAAAGATGGATAACAAAGCACGAATAAACGAAACTGTTTATAGATATATCGATGTTCTAACAAAGACGGCGTTGCTAAGCGTTTCCGCTTACCTGATTCGCGATAATGCACGCTCTATTCACAGCCTCCGCCTCGACTTCTTCGGGCCGTGACATCTCGTGGCCCTCCGGCCCGGTGACTCCTGCGGCCAGCAGTTTCTTCGCATTCTGGAACAAGTTTACGACGATTGGAGAGAGCTCGCAAATTGTATTTTTGTTAAAATCCCGTTCCAAACAACGCGTTTCTTATCCCCCTGCCATCTAGCTTTCAAGTCGCGTATGAGCGTTTTATTACCTTTTTATGTTCCTCTGTTTGTCCACCTTGATAACATTGAAATTACAATGTGGAAACAAGGAATTATTCTACTCAGTGCGTTTTCGGAAATGTAAATTGTTTGTTATTTGTTATTGTTTTTATTTATCGTTATACATTGACCGCCTTTTAAACTGCCAGAAACAATTCGGACATTTTTTTTTTTAATTCTAAGAACTGAAAAGTTTTCTAAAAATGTTTTTAACAATCGTATCATTGCAATATATTTATATACCTCTGCGATAATATCGCCGTTCTCCGCGTGCACCATAGCGACGGCGCCGATGTCCTTGCAAGCCTTGAACGCCTCGATCAGCTCCGGGTCTCTGAGCATGAATATGTCCCGGTACGCCATAAACATCTTGAAACTGCCGACGCCGTGATCCTTCGCCAGTGTCGCCATGTCTTCTTTGACCTGCAAAGAGACGGGACGGTGAGCACCGATGAATAATGAATCGAACGTGGCTTCCTTTCGACCGCACGACGGACGGCAAATAAGGCGGCAACGACGACGACGACAAATCACTCGTTTCCATCGCGCCCTCAAGCCACTACGCGCGCGCGGTTTCCTCATCTGTCATGTGCCGCTCGGCATTCCAGCTGCGTGATCGGCGATTGCAGGCCGTTTACGCCGAGATCTGCGCGACAGTCGCCAATTTACGGTATGAGTCTAACAGTTTTCCTGCATCGAAATTGCATGTTTCGACTTCGAATGTCGATAATCACATCCTATAAGGCAATAGATTGGATTTATTGGAATTTCTTCTAGCATTATATTGCGCGCAATAATGACAATAAAAAGTAATTGATAACTGCAGTTCCGGCAATTTGTAATATTCTGTAATATCTATGTTTAAGAATAATGCTTGAAAATTTCAGATGATCGAGCAGTTCAGACAATTCGAATCTCGAGATAGAAGCGTCAAATGATTTCGAGTTGAAAGTTATTCAAATCTGCTTTCAGCATGCACATCTACATATGTTAGCTCACTTATGCTCGTTGTCAATTCATATTATGTATCATTTGTAGGTTTCCACTCAATGGCGTTGTAAACCTTTGAAATACTTCTGCACGTTACATTCTGCTTCAATTTTATTTAGAGAATTTATTCAAATATCATGTTGATGCCTGCACAAATTTAAGCGCAAATAATGTTTTGCTTATTTTCCGTTTGTGCAATGCATGCTAATTTGTTCCAATTTTTTGAGGAAACAAATCATTATTAAGTCCGTTTTGATTAATCTGATTGTATTGATACAACTGGACGTTAAAATCAGGAACTACTGACAGAGCGTGTCCGACGAGTTCGTTCGGACTTTTAGATTAAATTGCATGACTATCGTAATGACCGGAAGCTGCAAGAAGAATTGGATTAATTTTATGTGTACTGTGTGCGCAGTCGTATAATTTACATTGTACGGGAAAATTACGTAAATTGTCATTACGCCAATTGACGCCTGGTCAATGTGGCGCGTAATTTTGAAGCACAAAATGCCGCGGCGAGCAAAACATCGTGAAATATCGCGTATTAACTTCGAACGTGATCAGCGGAGGAAGAAAGGGGTCAGGTCTAGACAGGCTTTCTTTTCTAGAAGGTTTCGTGTTACCGTAATTATCTCGTTCCGGGTGACTAAAAAAGCGGAATAGAGAGTACGTGCGAACTGCATCGCACATGGCACGATGACCTGGCGTAACGTTACGCTGCGATACAAGCGCTTAATTGACGCATCGCGCCGTAAAAGATACCACGACGTTAAGTATTATTGATGCAAAGACAACTAATCTTGAAGTAGTTAGAAAGCAATGCGTCGGTAGTTGAGAAAGTTGATAAGATTACAGGTGTTTTGTTCCACTCCGTCAATGACGATTGGACTCTAATTGTTCGTGATGCGAGGAAAAGAGTAATCAGTAATTAAATTAATGTTATCTCGATGATTTATAATACATAAATTGCAATTACGATAAAGAAATTGTGCGATCGCGAGTGAAACAATGACAATAAAAATCTGTTGTTTTTTTAAACGTGATTAAAATAAAATATACAAAAATAATATTCTTTATTTATTAAGAAATTTATCGCTAGAATGAACCTCAACGAGATCTAATAAATTATCGCAAGTGTATACCGAAATATATCCGAATATTAATGAATAAGTCTTAAATATCACGCAATAAATGTACCTTCGGATTCCAGGAGGTGACGGCGACGTGCAGTCCGTAATCGCAGCATACTTTTTGATCCGCCGTTTCCCTGTATCTGTCGTAAGCCTCCACAAGGCTCTCGTCCTTCCGCGGTATCACAAAGTCGATGATCATCGTCGTACCGCCGGCGACGGCGGCTTTCGTGCCCTGGTAAAAATCATCCACCGACTTGGAATCCATAAACTCCATCTCAAAATGCGTGTGCGGATCTATGCCGCCGGGCATCACGTATCTTCCACGCGCATCGATGGTCCTCGTGCCGCCCGGTATAATGAGATTGCGTCCCATTTGTCTGCAAACATTTTTTCCAAATATATTCCTCGCCCTTCGCGTTCGATTAATCTCTGCCGTTAAAAGTGGATCGTAAATTAAGTTCAATCAATCTCGGCTGACGATAGGTCTGTTCTTTACGGCAGAACTGGCTGCACTAGTTCGGAGTTTATATCTTCCTTTTTCCATATTGGAAGGAGGAAGATAAAACTCCGAACTAGTGCAGCCAGTTGAGCTATGAAGAACAGACCTGATGTCTCGGTCACGTCTGCTCAATAAATCACATCGAGCGTACTTGCTTTATCCGTCGCCACCTCATTCAGCTTCAAATGACAAAACTACCGCAACGATGACGTGTGTGTATCGCGTTTCGCTTGTGTAAAGTGGCGGTTAGACACGTAAGTTGAATACATGAGCGTCGTACCAGCAGACAAAACGCAACGCGTTCGGTATCTTCGAAAAGCAAACGTGCCAGTTGACATTCGGTAATTCATTCTCGCGAGCAATAGTAATGATCTCCGCAAACGATTGCGTCACAACGCGAAGTTATTTATTGCGTGTCGCGCGGTGTATCTTGAAATAGGAAAACGCATACCTGATGATGCCATCCTCGATGTAGACATCGCTATCGATGATCCCGTCGTCGTTGACAACCTTGCCGTTTTTAATCAGCAATCTGTTCTGCGCGCTCTGAAAACGAAATAACGTTTGCGTTAATTAAACGTTAATCAAGCGGGATTCCGATAAGTGCGAGCTTAATCGAACGGTAAAGCGATTGAACGAATTAAATGACTCTTTTCCATCGCACGACCATGACTCGCCCCGAGTGCTGTCCTTGATTTAACGTACGCAACGTGAGTGGACTCCAACATCCGGCATACGCAATTAACGTGCGTGCAACGCTGTGTACGGTATTATCAATCAGCGCCGTACGAGCGACGGTTCACGCACTTCCGCTAATGCTGGATTTAGAGCATGTATTCGATGTGATCCGATAAGCTGACAATGTTGTCTCGTGTGCCGTTGAGAAAAAAAGATAGCCATATTTTTCCACTCATTTTCACGGCTGATGAAATTTACACGCGCGTTCAAGAAGTTAATAAATGCAAGGGAAATTAGCGTAAAAAAATATGTATAACATGAATTACCAATTAGCGTGTTGATTATATATTTATAATATTAAAGAGATTAAATCAGATTTTATCTGTGAGATTAAAAACGTAAGAAAACAAATGAAAATTCAATCGATGTCGACGACCTCGACGAGGTTTCAACAGCGTCGAAATCAAAAAGTATAATAGAAAGCAATTTCCAGTTGCACTCTTTGTTTCACTATTGACGTAACGCGTGCCGCGATCCTTATCTTCCTGGAGGAACAAATTGCGAAAAAGAGTCATTGCGTATGCCGACGCGGCAGGTAACCGCATAGACGATGCGCGATGCGCATCCTTTCAAAGGACTTTCACGGCGCTCGTGCTCGTCGCCCTCGTGCGTGCAGGCAGAGCATAAAAGCAACCCCTCCCTCCCTACCTCTTCTCCCAAGGGAAAGAAAGGGTGATGACGAGCATGAGTATGACGGCAGCGCGCCTGGAAGAAAAAAAGAATAATTCCGGTTGCCGCCACCCGCCACGTTCCGCAAATACGCCGGCGAGTCTAGACCTCTTTGCGCCCCACGAGGTCTACCGTTGCTGGCAACGAGCCCTTCCGCCCGAGCTCCACCCCACGAGACACCCTTCGATTTCACCTTCGCCCCGAGGCGTTTTCGCGTCACCGATCCTAATAGGCTCTCTTTACAGTTTCGCGTCAGAAAGTAATTCGACTCGCGTGTGATTAAATTCTTGAAAGAAACTTAGTAAGCCGAAAAATCTGACTTCTCTTCATTTTCTTGATTAAAATTTCTCAATTGAATTATTTCTATCAATTATTGTTTTGCATTGGAAAGTAATTTAATACATGTGATTAAATTTCTCAAAGAGTTTAACGCTCTGAGCAATCTGATAACTTTATATTTTCTTCAGAAGATTTATTAATTCATTTCTATTAAATTTAATCATTATTGTTTTGCATAAGAAAGTATTTCGAACGTACGCGCTCAAGTTTCTCCGTCTGACAGCTTCATATTTTTCTTTAAAAAAACTTTCTTAAATTCTATTAAATTAAGTTTCTCAAACAAAAATGTTTAAGAAATGTTTTGCTAGAACTGGGACTCTTGCATATTTAATGAGAAGAAGTTTTCACAATAGAGTCGATGCAACAGCAAGTGCATCTTGATCGAGGCAATATGTAAAACTAGATCTGGAATAGACGACACGGCGTGGGCACGCGTAGGAGAGACTTCGGGAGAAATGGAGAAATGCGGATGCACGACCTTCGATTTTTATTACAGAGGCCATTGAAACCCCGCAGATGTAATCTGCGTGGGCGGAGACCTTGTCATCTACGGAGTGTAGTTATTAGCCGCGGCTGAGAACATGTGTGTCTCATGTGTTTAGGAGATCAGCGCTCGGATGTATTTTCGGCACGCACCGGTCTTAAAATACGACCACGGCACCGTGTGATTTTTAAGTGAAATTCTTCGCGAGAGTACTTCAAAAGCGGAATCCCATTAAACTCTGAGATGAAGTATCGGGCATTGAAAAACTTGATTCCCGCAACACTTGGCAGTTCATAAATTACGCGCGAGTCTATTTCTCTCATCTCACACATCCTTCTGAGTTATTAAAAAATTCTTCAAATTATTTTTACACCGTTATCCCGTTCAGAGAACGAATCTCCCACAATTTTCTCTTCAATACATAAAATATAAAATCGTCTTGTATCGATTTTAACGAATTATTAAATTGGTACACCGAGATATTAAAAGTTATGATTTCTATCAAGCACACGCTGCGAAGTCAAGGTTAATACCGGCGCAAAATACGGTCCGTGAGTCAGACGTGCGACTCCCATGCGCTCCCGGTTAAAATCAATAGCCCCGACACATCCTGCCTATACGTCTCTCTCGGATTCGCCGGCTCGAACTTTGACGCGGCTTTGAGCGGGGATCTCTTATCGCGGCTATCTCCGCGCGATTAGATCGCGGCCGTAATTCGGCGTGTCAGAACGTGCCACTCTCTCGCGCGAAGTGTGAGAAAATCGGGCTGCCACTTTTAGACTTTGCTCTTTCGGTGCAAGGCGCGAGGATGTAGGCGGGTCGATCCTCCCGGCGGCACTATGCCGAGCCGATTTCCGTTACTCCGCTGCAATATTTATATGACAGCTCGTATCATCTTATCGTCGGGGAAGAAGTTAGAGCGTGCGATTTTTAGAAAGTACATCTCGTAGCTAATTTATACTATCAATTAAATTTAATTAAAATCGACGTCGGCGCGTTGTTTTTCTCTTCTCCAGATATGCGCATGCTTATTTGGCGTGAAATAATAATTAAAGACGCAGGCAAAAAAGGAAAAGTGTTCTTTACCGTTTCCTTTAAGGAGAGAAACTTAGAATTGCTCTGCGCCCGGACCGGTAATCTTTTTAGTAGCTAACGAAACACACGGTGCACCACGATGCAGCTCGACTCGGTAAACGTTAACGCGGGCTTACCTGGCGCAGTGCGAGACACACGGCCAAACTTCAAACATTGCGTAACCGACTGCTGCGTTCGATATCTCACGTTTTTAAATATTTAAAAAATTATGACACGAAGACGTATATGTTTAACAAGTATTTTACCGTCTTCAAAAGACCGTAAATCGAATTATTATATTTATTCCTAAATATGCCAATACAAGATTTAGATAACAACAGAATAGAATATACTCAAATAATAGAAAATACTCAAATTCCAATATTTAAATTCCAAAAATTGTGCTTGAAAAAAAGTTTGTTCGCATGTGTAGATCACAGAGCAAATATGTTCGCACGCGAACTAATCTGCGCCTAAGAGACTTGCAAGGTTACGTAAGACTACCACTAGTCAATAATTGTACGATCGGTGTCTAACGAGTATTTGCGCCTCGCTTCTTAATGATATGCTATACGTGGACGTGCGTATATTATAATCTATGCATCTAACACGCGACCGCATATGAAACCTACAAAAGATCTCTTTAAGACAACATTGTCGTCGCGATCCAAGGCGTCCTTGGACCATATTCCACGATCACATTCGCCACGCTGATGAGTGAAGATGCACACGCGTGAAGCGCAGAAACTCTCGTCGGAGTGCTCGAAACCCACGCAAAGCGTTCAACGGAAATCACCTACATCCGACTTTAATGAAGAAATTACAAATGAAATTGATTTCCATTCTATTTACATTGATTTCCAATCATTTGATTCGCACTATTGCAACACGTCAAAAGCGCAGAACATTCTTGTTCGCGATATTAATGATTTTTATCTTTTATTAATTATCTTTCACGACCCAAGATTGTTCTGCGGACCCTGCGAACGCGGACGATCGCGACGTGTCTGGTCTACTTCGCATCCGTAAACACGACGCGCGCCGGAAACAGCGGACGGTAAGTCACACCTGGCTTCACCTATTGCGGCCGTTTGCGTTTCAGCAAACGATGCCGGCAACGCGCGTTTCGATTGACCGACTTAGCGGTCGGGCCAAATTTAACACCGCATCAGCGTGTTAAACACGACGGCGGGAGGAAGGGGGGGAGAGCCTCGCGCAAAATCACTGTGACCGACAATAAGTAAATAAAAAAAGATCTAGAAATAGATGTGATGCAGCTAGTCGAGGCGGAAGCAGAGCGAGATAAGTAACTGACGAAAATTACCGCAAATAATGGTACTGCGACATGCTTCAAAAGCTATATGTGTCGAACTTTCAATTTTGCAGTCTATGAATAGATTAAATGGCACGTACAGCCTGTGAATTCATTACTGGCGTCCAATTTCTATTTAAAATATTCATAGTAATTAAAATAATTCAAAAGTAGAAAATCAATGTAATTAAATGTGAACAAAATAAAAACGTACGGTAAAGTCACACAAACAGAAATTTTTCACTTTACTTTTCTCGACGAGTGAAATAATCTGGCGTTTAAAATGTTTCAATAAAAATAATAGTAGCCTTCTTTTATGAGAGAGCAGATTGTTTAGCACACTTAATTAAAGCGGCGAGGATGTCATATTCTAATGACTGCGTTATATAAAAAAAAAAATTACATATTCCCGAGCGGAGTGAAATGTGTCGTGAAGATAATGTAATATGTGAAATGGAGAACCAGGTCAGTTCCCATTAATTACACGCCTGCCACGTGATTACACGGCTTCATCGTATCGTCCTGTGCGCCGTCGCAACCGCACCTCTGTTTACTCCGTATTCTTTCGTTCCGCTTGCGAAATCGCAAAGATAAAAGGCGCGTCGTATGATCGGCGGCAGACAGCTCCGTCAACGACACTTGTATCATCTCATTGGCTAACGTTCTCGTGTTCCTTCCTGTCGAAGATCGTGGGAAGATCTCCGCCTGCCATTTCTACTCTCGCGGATACTATTGTTATCCGAGGTGATCTACGAAACCGGACTGAGGCAGACGGTATCGGCGAATCGTCGACATGTCGCAAATGTATGCTAAAGAGAACGTCGGGTGTTTTCCCCGCATTAGGTCGACGTAGCCGAGTCGACGAACTATTGATTTGCGGAGCGCCGGCCCCGCGGTCCTCGCTTACTCCTGCCCGTGTCCCAGTGCCGTATGATTTTCCCTTTAATATTGCATTTCCCCTGCGTTATTAACCCTGGGACACGCAAGAGGGGTTTTCGAGACTTTGCAACATTCGCTGTTTTTGCTACTCGCAATATCGTCGATCGCTTCGTTTTCGTTTTCCTTTTCTACAGAATTTTTAAACTCTATTTTTTTTTTGCTCAATACTTTCGCAGATTTTTATCAGAAAGCTGTGTTCTAGGATCAATAAATTGGAGCATATCACGCGCAAATTATCTACTCTCGATTTGTCGATGATGATAAAAGTTGGCAAAGCTAATATAAAAGTATGATGAGAGGTTTTTGCAATCACGGTGGAAATTATATTTCCAAATTAGTAAAGAGCGCGTATTTGATGTGATAAAAATCACGTTGTAATTATGCCTTTAAATGCAGTTAACACGGTCAAACACAGTTAAATACAATGCTTGGAGGGATAATACGCTTGAATCTAACGGTATGGTGGTTGTTCCGTTTGCAAGATCGGTGAGAAAGAGGATGAGAGTTTTCTACTTTAAATTGGCGCTAACTAGCACGTGCTAATTAAATTCAAGATGTTAAAATCCGGGTCTAAGTTCCTTCGGCATCATCAAAGTAAAATTAACTCCAAACTACATATTTTACAGTAATACGCGTACAAGAAATTTGAGATCTTGATATAAAATACTCGAAACAATTTTATTCGAGTGATATCCCTAAATATAACAATTAAACTCTAAGTTCCTTTGACATCATGAGACAAAATTTATATAAAATAATCTAGAAAAATATTTTTCAATAATATACATGTAAAATATTAACTAAAAAATTTTTATCTTAAAATTCTCGAAGCAATTATATTTGCAATATAATAAAAAATGGAATATAATTTTTGACAGCTGCGTGGAATAATTAATTTTTCATAAAATCATTAATCTTTAATTTTTCATACAACTAAAAATCCCGACGAAACCTCGGTTGATGGATCTTGGTCGGTTAAACGCATTGCAAGAGATTGATAGACTTTCTAAGAAATGGACTATTCGGGGCGCCAGGACACGTCAAAATGATGATCAATAAGACGCCAGCCTCGCCACGGTTGCGACATTACTTTCGTTTTTCGCGTTGTAGCTGAAATGTTACAGCACTTCCTCTCCACGAATGCTGCGACACACGTTACATCCCGATGCTGGACAATAGCTATTCAGAATCGACACATAGACTTCGACCTAATAATAACGCGTCAATACAGGCGTTATTTTATAATGTGTCTTTTTTTTTCGAATTGTTCCTATCGTCGTTGGTGCAGCGTAGAGACATACTGATGTATAGTTGCCGCAAATGTTGACCTACATTTTCTAAATCGGTGTCGTGCGATAGTTATACAAAATCGCGAGGTAACCATTGCGTATGTTAGAGTTGTAATCTTTGTTACTCGTATCGACGTATGTATTTCTTATGACCACAATGTATATCCTTCGCAAACATTATAGCATCGAGAATTACTATAAATTATTAACGATGAGTATTATTAACGATGAGCAGAAAACAGACGACGAATTTAATGAAATTAGGCTGCATTTTTCATGATTCAGCTATTTTTATTTTCGAGCTCTGTTTCTGTTATGCAATGGTTTATAAATAATATGCGATAAAAAAAATGATTCTTGCCGTACAACCGGTTGTGTGAATTAACCGCGGCTCTTCGTCGTCTTGATTGAATGAGCGTGACTGATAATTTCATGCTTCATAGGATATTTATGAGGCTTACAATGATACTGATTGAGATAATGATGCAACGTGAAGAAAGAGCGCATCGAAGATTCTCCTCGAGTAGTATAACAATTAATCTGTTGACTTAAAAGAATTTCCTAAATATTCAAAAAAATTAATAAATTTTCTTAATTAATTAGCTCAGTAAATTCAAATACAATTAATTTAATTTATCTTACTTAATATATTATTTGTCATAATTAATAATTTCATTTGCATTAAGTGATTACATTTCTTAGAAAAACAGTTTATTTTTATGTGAATTATATGATATCTTAAACCGTGCCTCATCATAAATTTATCACAGGTCAAGTGCAATAAAAATTATCTTTCTATCGATTAAAAATTGCCTGATATGCCCATAAGAACTAAATCATGCTGACGATATTAAAAGCTGATGTCAACAATTTCGTTGATTATTTAGTAAGAGTCATATAAATAATTCTAAAAATAGACGAAATCAATCTAGTCGCTAGTAGTCACGATTCCGATTAAGTGCACATCATTTCGTATGCTAACGACAACCTCAATAAGATAAACGGCTTTGCAAAAGTTCTCATGCAATATCGGGATCGCAACCCCCTCATGCCGATTCGTTTCATTGGTCGAAATTATCAACCGTGATATCGACGGAAAAAAGCAGTGTTATTTAAAATGTGGCTAACTATAAACACTCGCTTTTTATCGACGGGTTTATCAATACCGATAATTCTACAATGACGATTTTGCACGTAGAGTTTTCGACGCGAACGGATTTATCGACCACCAGTCGCAACAAGTCCTCGTCGAGAGCAAAGGACGCGATAGTGCTTCTTATCACGGCGTAGCTGTTTATTGCACGGCTCGATTGATTATCTTATTTGCTGAAAATTCGTTGCACCGATATTGTCTGGCAAAAATCCTGCGTACGTGTTTAATCATATATTAACTCTGTACTTTTCTACTGTATCGTGTTTACTTCTATAAACATAAAATCAGATTGATAAAGCTATCTAACAGATTGCCAATGCAATCTGTAATTTCAGATAAGAATATTTTCAGATGATTGTTACGTGAACGATTCTGAATGATAAAATTTTGAGGCGTAAACAAAAATCGGTATACTGCTTCGGAAGTGTTTCACAAAGAATCATTCAATCTACTTGAGAAAGCGAAATAGCTAGCATGAAAACGTCAGTGCAACAAGTCCTTTGATCAGTCAATGACCGTTGACAACGCAACTCTCTGAATACTTAGCCTAAGTATCTGTTCAAAAGGTTGACTTTCGAAACTGACTTCTCACAATGCAAGAAAACTTTGAATGCACGTAATAAAAAAATACAATCCGAAAAATCATCTTATAAATTTTGTTTAAACAAAAAATGTTTTCGAAAATTAATGTCTGATATTGATTTAGTGATTTTTACATGGCGAAAGCAAAAATCTTATTCTGGAAATAAGATTTCGTGGCAGAAAGGAAAAAACTCTTGAATTCAACGACCTTATCGAATCACCCTCGCTGCTGCGAAAAAGGGGCGGTTTTTATCCGCCATGCAATACCGTAAATACGAAATACGTAATACATGGATAAAATTTTGATATGCTGATAAAGCAAAATCCGATTTCAAAATATTTTGTGAATTCATAACAAATACATATAATGCGTAAAGTTTTGTATCTCAAAATATTAAAAGATTCTAAGATGTTACCACAAAAAATTTATAACCTAAAATGACTTATTCGTGATTCGCGAAAACAAATGCACACAGACGACGGAAATAAAGGGATAAAGAGCGCATTCAAGAAACTAATGAAATTTCCCACGCATAATTTAATGACAGCGCATGCATCTTAAGTGGATGTTGCTCCCATTTGGCGCCATTGACAATGATTTGCGTCGCTATTGAATGTACCGTATTAACGACGCGAGTCATCATAGACGGAACCGAATCTAACTCATTTTGTAACAGTACGACAAATTATTGTGGCGGTTTATCGTCGCAATTTATCGTCAACCATGCTCTACGCTCATCCACTAATACACCGTCACGCGACGCGGATAAAAATAACGACGCTTTTTTGCTTCATCGCAAAACCGGCGGTTGCGCCGCGTGAAAGCTTACAGGTGCGAAATTCTGCACTCACCTGCAGATGAATGGGCACCTTCTTCACTGGCGTGCTCATCTCGTATATTCACAATTGCTCACGATGATTTGTCCTCGACTAACTGCAGGCCACTTTATCTTCGCTTACGACGAAACGCTTTACGCGCGCGATCCCGCCGACGTTTTCTTTTCCCTACGCAAAAGAAACGAGATCGGGAAGGAGCGTTATCACACGATTACAACCGCACGATCGACTAGACGCGACTGACGCGACGCTGCGAGCGCGCGTCGTTTTCGTTTTCACCACTCGGCGAGGGTGGCTTCCCACTCGCTCGCTTCCCTCACCTCGACCAATCAAAACATTACTGGTGAATTGTAGGAGAGTTAGAAAATGCAAAAATAAGACCTGTAATTAATAAAAGTAATTATGCAAAATAGATCTCATTAAATTAATAGACCTGATAAAATTGATTTACCATGAATTCGTTTCAGTAATGCGTTTTTTGTTTTACGATGGGGTTCTTGATTAACAAACTCGACCGTAAGATGGCATCGCTAGAATTTTTTTAGCGGCAAGTTTGAATAAAAATTATTCTAAAAAATTTAGATAAAAATTGTAATTCAGAGATGCATTAAAAAAATCCTAATAATTTAGGCATATATATTTCAATTATATGTTTTAGTTAGATTAGTAGTAATATTAAGATAAGTAGTAATATTTCAATATATTTTAGAGTTTATATCAATTTTTTGTATGATACAGGAAGAGACTGTGAGAAAAATAAATTAATAAGTGATGTAAGAATACTACTCTTATTTGTGATAATAAATATTTGCACAATATAAACACATATTTGCGAAATAATTGTAAAACTTGTTGCTATTCATTAATTTGAATAAAATTAGGTTATATTCGAGATGATGAGGTTATATTTGACATGATCCACGTTCCCGCGCAAAAACAGATACTGTTTTGTGTCATATAAAAATTATAATTAACATGGCTATACGATTGCATATAAATAATAAAGATTTAGTTGATCAAAAGCAGTCAGAGTTACACTTTATGCCATGTAAAATTCATGGGAACGAAGCCACTAAGGTTTCTTCTTTCTTTAAACCTTACATTCGTAAGATAGACAAAGAATGTAAGTAGGCTAATAAACTTATAGTATTATATTTCTTTTATGTAGCATATTTTAATGGAAAAATATTGAAGGCACACAAGTACATAAAGTAAAATATAATGAAATTATTTATATTTTTGCCTTTTATTCTACCACTTTCTAAAATTATTGAATTTTACAGATTGTGATTGTTCTTTCCGTGGTTATCCACTCCAAGGAAAAGAAGTAACTGTACCTGCTAGCTATAAAGGCATGATATTTATGGAAAATAGAAAGACAGATAGTGAAAGCAAGAATCGAAATTTGTATTGCACCAAAACCTTTTCAAAGTTTACATATTGGAATTATGATAAAATACCATCCAAGAATGATGCCATTATAGCAGCATTAGATTGGATTGACATAGCTGAAACAGTAAGTAGCTTTTTTTATGGACAATTATAATTTATCAATCCTTATGCAACTTGTTTTAATAATTCTAGTTACATACACCAGAAACATAAATACCAAAGGCATATACCAATTGTTCTAGTGGAGATATAAGAAACATTGTTATCCAATAACATTATATTTTTCTACTGATAGAAAAGGGAAGTAATAAAGATGTATTTCGTATAACAGATTTATTTTTAATGTTGTAATTGGATGGTTATGCCACAAATAATGAGTGTATATGTGCGTAAGAATCTATAACTGTAAGATGTGTAAAGAGAGATAGTGGTGGTATCAATAGAGTATAATTAGCAGCAAAGTTTTTAAAGAAACAGAGTTTTCTATTTAGATATCTGTGGACTTTTCATTAGTTCGTTTAATATAATGATACAATTATAAATGCATTCTGCAGATTCTTTTCAAAGACACAAATCTGTTTTATGCAAGATGTTACTATGCTTTTATACGATTCATATTTAATTTTATATTAAATGCATTTAGTGCCATCGACAGCTTACATTGATAGTATTCATTGTAAATAGGATGTACTTAGCATCTGAGCATCCATAGCTATCTTAAAGACATACAAATGTGTAATTTACAAAATACATTTTTCAGAATACCTACTGAATCGTTTAGGCCAAAGAATCCAATCAGTTTGCAACTAGCATGTATTGAACATGTGCGCAGCGTGAATCGATTTCCAAATACGAAATGCTAGAATTCAATTTCCATTCCTGTATCATGTAGAATCATTGGCAGTGAGAGGAAATGTGCGTATCTTAAACGAAGTATGTTTGTTTACATTATCTCGCGTTAATTAATATGCTATAGCATCATACAATACATCATAGCAATTAATGCTACAATAGGAAAATTGATTAATTAAATAATTACAATCTCAACCTGAATTTTCTTTGGCGTTATAACAATACTGAGGTATTTATACGAGATTTGTAGAACTAATTAAAAGTGAACCCTGAATATCATATCAAATTACAAAAACTCTCTCTTACGTTCGTTCGTTCGTTCGTTCTTACATTCTAAATTATCAAGCCCCCTGACACAACGGAATAATAAATATAATAAAATATTTCTATTGATACTTCTTCCGACGTTTATTATATAGATATCGCTAATAAAATAACTTCTTGGGATTCTAAAGGACCTATTTACAGTAACATTATAGATTTCTAAAGAGCTACTCTAAAAATAGGTCCGCTGCGTTATCACTTCGTTTTCATTCATGCAAAAGCTCTCTAACGTTTACTTATAAAGTTGAGGAAGTAAATGCTTGTCTTATAGAGACGTTAGTCTCGTTGTCCGTATGCTAAGCTAAATGTATTTTAGTTCACTTATATGTAATTCGGACGGGTGGGTGTCTGTCTGTTCGATCTCAGACTAGATTTCTCAGGCGAGCAAAAAATGCAGCCTCGGTAAATGAATCAAAAAGACACCCGCCCAACGAGCGGCAAATGTTCAGCTGCCTTTCTCCTTCCTAATAATTTAATCTTTTTAAGCTAAACATGTACGATCACATTGGCTTATGTTATTTTCGACGAAGATTACGTTCTAAAATCAGATTTTCCTCGCATTATCCTCTTTAACATTATGGCGTACAATTCTAGATGATTTATAGATATATCTGTGAAATTATATACGGAATTAATAAGTAAATAATTCACGATTTCCTCTACTATTGCGTATAATACTTGCAATATCGTGTTTTTTTTTTTTTCTTTGTACCCTGATTTCAGATGTGTATTTTTATATATGTGAACGGCGATTGAAATTCCCAGAACGTGAGATATGTCCTGTTTGAATGCAAATTCGAAAGTAATATTTGTAAAACTCGTGGAAACTAACACTTTGGCAGTGGCTTGTGATATATTCAAATCTCAAAACTTCGGTATAAGACACTGCAACAGGCAGTAGAATACATATTAGTTTTTGGTATTGTCCGCGCGCTCCTGTCAGTCGGTCCTTTTCACTCGATTCGATAGAATATATAAAAAAAAAAATCATTATAAATGCCACTTGTATACAATATAAAAAAGACTACAGTCTTACAGTTTTACAAGAAAAACTTATAAAATCTCAAGCAAATCAAAAGATCCTCAACCAGATCGCAATCCGTTACGTAGTTTCACTAAATTTGTACATTCGTAAAGATATCAAATAAAATACCGCACTATTTATACATGCTGAAACGTGCCCAAATCATTGGTTTGCTCCTGATGAAACTTGTTCTGATCCTGCTGCTGCTTGATGAAAGCGCTCAGCCTGTTGAGCAGAAATTGTTTGTCATGGCCTTCCAATACTAATTGATTCTTCAATACCGTCACCATGTGCTTATTCGCTATCGACACCGCGTAATAGTAATAGAGAAGCAGAGCGAGAATGACGAACGCTGGTATGCCGAAGCCAGCCGTGCCCAGGAAGAACAGTGCCGATTGTATCCAATCGGGGAACTGCGAGAATGTCATGATCAGCAGCATCCACACGGACTGCAGTCCGCGGAACGGGCCGCACGACTTCGACGGCATGATCTCGGCGATGGAGTAGCCGACTGGTATCGTCGCCAGGATGAAGGAGACCAACAAGATGAACATGAAGAGGGAATTCGACCTGCTTGCCCGGTATATCTTGCTCGACGGTGCGCTGTTCACCAGACAAGTGAACTTCTTCACATAAAACAGCAGAAACGTCCCGACAACGGCGACCATCGGCAGCAACGGCGCGAAGAAGCAACCGAGCCAGCAGATCGTCTGCGAGTACACGATATCCAGCACGTGCTTGGGTAGGTCGAATTCCTGCTCGCCGACAAAGCGCAGGATCTTGTTCTCGGAGTTCCGCGCGATCAGCGAGCGCGGAAAATTAATGAAGAACGTCATGAAGAATTGGATGAAGAGATCGGTGGTGTACAGCTTGAAGAACTGCTGCCCCACGAAGGTCTCCCAGCACAGCGGCTGCCGATTCCTATCGTTGGTGCACTCGTCGTCCGGAATCTTCTCCCCGACGAGTCTGTACAAGGACGTGAGTAGAACGCCGAGGGAGGCGAGTCGGAGAAAGACGGTTCTAAATAGCGTCATTCGCACGACGTAGGATGGACTGTAGTGCTCCAGAGCGACCAGGTAGCGAAAGAGGAATGGAATCGCGACGTTGAGCCCGACGATACATATATAAGGAAGGAATTCGAAGAACAGATGACTGATCTTGGACGCGCCTTGGTTCTGCGCGAGGTACGTCGCCGTCTGCTCGAACGAGAAGTCGATTATGTAATAAATAAACACGCCACAGCCGCTGAGTACCGTCAGGACGATCAGGTGGACGAACAAGCGTATGAAGAACAGCTTCGTCTTCTCCTCCCGCGTGCGATTCTGCCGTTCTTCCTCCATCCTCTCCGCCTCCAGGAATCCCTTCATCTCGTTGTACAGCGCTTTGTGCTTCACCGCCGCGGACTTTTCGTTCTGGATGCAGTAATCCCAGCCGCCAAACACGAGGTTGCAGTATTGATAAAACTGTCCCTCGCCCTCCACGACTCTCTCCTTGAAACCCTTAGCGGCTGACCGCACAATTGCTACTAGGCTGATAATGAAGATGCTAATAATAGCGCAAATGTAGGACAGCGGTGAGTTGTAGTAGAGATTGGGACCGAAGTTCTCGTAGATCTTGTGCGTGTACGTGCCGTAGAACAACAGAGTGTACTCCAAGATGCCGCGGCCTTGCACGATCTCGGTTATACTGTTGCTACCATCGGTCTTATTCCTGTACATTTCGGTGCAGCAGGCTACGCTAGCGTTGTTGTTGGGCGTACATGCTTCGTTCTCTGGCACCTCCAGCAAGATCGCCGGCAGCACTATCAGCAAGAACAAAATCGCGAACAGAAGCAAATTCAGATACATCAGCCATTTGATAAATAAAAAGTACGATACTATTCCCATTCCAAAATTTCCGCCTATCTTCTTCAGACTGTCGTTCCACAGCTCCATCTTGGAGTACGCCTCCTTCATCCTTATGCGGAATTGTTGCCAGGCTTTCCTGCGCTGCCACTTCAGCTGTTCGAAGCCTTGAAGTCGCAGTTTGGTAGCGCTCTGAAAAATACGGAAAATAAATTGTCGCAAATTATACTTACTCTAATTTATTCGTTGTAGAATATAAACTTTTATATCAATTTTTCAAAATACCTGCAGTTGATTCTTCAGCTGTATTTTCTGAGACATGCACACAGGCATAGCCTTGATCTGCATGATTTCTTCCCAAAGTGCGTTCTTCGTTGGACAAGTTCTCCGACAGATCTGGTAACATAGACACCGCCACATCATGTACATTGGTCGACATACGCCTTGAGGTTGTTGTGCCACGAGATCTAGTGCTTGTCCGTCTTCTCAATGTCATCTTTGTGTCATTTCGGATTCGCTTTGCTGTGGCTGAAATGTAGAAAAGGTATTGTGTAAGAATAGAAAAGATCTTGTAAGATGTAGCTCATAAAATGTAGAAAGATTTATTTGTAATTGTTTTGTTTTCAAGTAGAGAGCTGTTTCAACTCACCAACGCGAGATTTTTTGCTAGGAAGCAAAGTGGCTATGTGCGAAGGATCCCTCTGCAGAGCTTGTTGCAGATCCGCTTCCATAGCCGCAGGATAACTTTCTTGATAGAATTCGGCGCCAGCCTCTTCCCATCCATGGCCTCTGTCGCCACCTCTTTTCTTTCTCTCTCCACCCGACATTTTCAATCTCTGGAGTATACTTTCTGAGTGAGTTGAATCTTATTCACAAAGCAAATCAATCACATGCAATCTTTAAACGTTTAATTCTGCACAAATAATTTGTACAGCTTGACACATAATTTTAACATTTATATTCCACTTCTGTGTTCTATTTCTTCAATCTAGAATCTCTCAATACAATTATGTAGATTCTTCCTTAATTATGTAGATCAATTCCTCTGAATTCTTTACATACTGTTCAATGTAGCTGCAGGCAATATTGCTCATTCGAGAATGACGACAGTGTATTCAACTGTAAAAGAAATAAACTATTGTTGAATCATTATCTTGGCATGTGTACTACAATAAGATCAAATAAGATAAAACAATATCAGAAACAATACACATACACACACACACACACACGTATCCGGCATGAGTGTCGTCATCAAAAGATCTTTCGCAATCGTTTACGTGGAATTTCTGCCGATCGATACTTAACAATATCTTGAATAACAATTTATTCTCAGCTGTTGGAGCCTCAAACCACAGGCCGTTAATATTGGATACACCGCTCCGATGCTGCGCTGAATGCGACATACATTGTCATACGTGAAATCTTTATGAGGTTTGCAGCCCGTGGAAATTAGATCAACGTGCATGACGACATCGCGCCCGTCACTTCGGTCTTCTTGAAATTCCGACGGACGAAAGCTTCGTAGCAGCTCATCGGCGCGAGCCCGCACGGCGGCATTTTGTTTGTTTCATACGTCAAACTCACAGCAGACGGCTAATGACAAGAAGCTACCGATCACGAACCGCCTAGATGGCGTCTGAATAAATTTCGTGCTTCCAGTGACGCCAGATTTGAGACGCAAGCAGCAAGAGGGAGGGAATACCACCCACAAAGCGCAAGCTTTGAACTCACACGTATGTGTGAATTCCGTGCTTCGAACACCAGAAGAGAGCTGACATACTATTTCTGTTTCCTTTTTTTAATGGTCAGAAACGCTCCATTTTAGCCGGGATTTTAATAAATTGTTAACAGGAACACCTGTTAATGTCATCACTGGCGTCACTGGATGCTCCAAAAAAAAGACACGTTTTTAGAATATTTATAAGCTTGGTCTTTTTTCCAAAAAAGAGTAGCCAAATATCTATTTTTTTCTAATAGTCAAATAAAAAGAAAATATAGAAAAATAAAAACAAACATTTGTGTAATTTTTGTAACATTTTATTATTTATTATGTAAGAAATTTATTTCATGAAAAGTAATTTTATTGATGCATTCACACAATAATTGTTTAGAATTAAATAAAATGTATCATTCATTACAAACTTATAATTCTACAAAGAAAAAAAATACATTTTTGAAAAAATCGTTACTTTTTAATTGATTGCTTTTTGAATGATGAAAAAATTAATAAATTTTTTATACATTAAAAATCTTGTATCGTTCATGGAGGCATGCGACACGTTATGCATTTAGCATGTTATTTTAATATATTGAGTACGATTCATTATATTTAATAATATAATTCATTATACGCATAGAGTTGTTGCTTTTAGATTGTTAAAAAAATTAACAATTTTTTATACATTGAAAATTTTATATTATGCATAGAGACATGCGACATGTTACGCATTTAACGTGTTGTTTTGATACATAGAGCACAATTCATTTCATTCTAATGGCATAATTTACAGTCTTTACATCTCGCAAATTGATTTTGACATTCAGAAATTATCTACCTTCGATTGAACAAGTATTTACATAAATACTGTATTTTTAATATGTTCGATTTTTGTAAAAAAAAGTAACATACAATCGAAGAACAAAATTAGAAACAATTAGGCAAAATTCTATATGTGAGATCAATAAATAATAACTTCATTATCTTAACGCAACATTACGCAATTTGAAAATTTAAATAGTTGTAATCTAAAAGTAACACACACATAATCCAAGATCATCATTTCACTTAGAGAGATATTCCATATTTGGAGACCAAAGTTACACTTTGTGTTACGTAAGAGTACAATATTATAAGCGTAATAGTGATTAATTAATATTACTATGATTATATTAATATCATTAGAGCTGTTTGCGATAAGATTTCTGGCTTCAATATTGTCGGCCTTTACCTCTGCCTCTGCCGCCTCCTCGTTGATAGCTGTTCATGCCAGAATTGTTGCCCTGATTCCATCCTCCTTGAACCCTACCACTTCGGCCGCCGCCACCTCCTCCTCCTCCTCCTCCACCGCCCTCCCTCCTGTCCTGGTAATGATTTCCACCGCTACGATTGTTACCTCCATAAGAATCTCTTTGACCAGAATATTGCGATTGTTGATAATTTTGACCATAACTTTGACCGGAACTTTGGCCGTAGCTTTGACCGGAACCTTGGCCGTAACTTTGACCGGAACCTTGGCCATAACTTTGACTGTAATTTTGATTCGAACCTTGGTTATAACTTTGACCTTGACTGTAACTTTGACCATAATTTTGACTGGAACTTTGACTGGAACTTTGACTGTAATTCTGATTATAGCTCGCGTTGGAATCTCGATAATTTCCGCCACCTCTGCCTCCTCCACCTCCCTGATATCCTCCAGCGTTCCTATGTCCAGAATATTGAGATTGCTGCTGATGGTCAAAATTCTGACCAAAATTGCTGCTAGCATCTTTATGATAGCCACCTCCACCGCCTCCACGACCGCCGCCTCCACCGCCTCCGCGACCGCCACCTCCTCCTCTACCATATCCTCTATCACCACCACCTCCTCCTCTTCCACCCCTGAAATCATTATATAATATTAAATATTTGTTCAAACTTATTATACATATCTTTTATTGCCATTTTATTTTTCACTCATAATTAACAGTTGATAGTTTAATCATTAATATTTTATAAAATTTCTTTGTCGTTATATTGACTTACCGAAATGATGTCGGTCCTTGAACTCTATCCTTTTGCCACGAAGGCATCTCTGGTGGAGGTGGTTCTTGTTCATAAGGTCTACCACCTCTGTCAGGCACTGCTCCAATAATAACACTGTTAATCTTGCTTCGTGTGTTCTTGCGAACGCTCGCGTTGCTCATTTTCTCGATTATCGCTAGATCATTTCTCGCTGCCAACAAATCGGCCATTATTACCTTTGGTACATTTTTTAAAGTCTTTCTTCTTTCCTCAAATATCTTCTTAATTTCCATTTCTGATTTTATCTTATCTGACCACTAAAAGTAAGATTATACAAATATATATATGTTGAATACATTTTAAATACAGATAAAAATAATCACAATGTTTTAAGGAAAAATGAAGAACGTCAATTCTCACCAAACATGATTGAATTGTGACATCGAGACGCTTAAGCAACATATCACGACGAATGGTATATTCTGTTTGCATTTTTTCTTGCATTTCGTATAACTTGTTCCATTGTCTTTGAGACAGTTCGAGATTTATAAGTGGTTGATCTAGATGTCCAGATGGTACAGTATTTAGTATGTTTGATAATTGAGTCTCCACTTTTGAGAAGAATGCTTCAGGTGAAATGTTATCTGGTGGCTTTTGCAATTTTAATGTTATCACCATATTTTTCAAGTTTCTTGCTGTGTCACTTTCATTCTGCAAATATAAAACAATGAAATATACATATAATAAATATTCATATAATATCATAAGAAAAGCGCATACAATTTTAACAATATGTTAATAAGATAAAAACTATTATAGTTAAAACTACTTACAATAGTGACTTCCAATTGTTTTTCTTCTTTAGGATATTTTTCCTCTAATATTTTACAAGCCATAAGTTCAGCTGCTAAGAATTCTATTAGTAAAGCTCTTTCAAGCTCATTCCCTAGTCTTTGATTAATATTTCCGCATGTTAGTTTTTCATTCACACATCCTACTTCCTTGAGAAAAAAACTTAACTCTAAGAGGAAGGAACTAGCATCATCTGCGCTTGTTGTAGCATGAACAGTCTCATCGATATCAATAAATGTAGCAAGTTGCTCAGCAAACCATGCTGTAAGACTAGTAAAGTCTGGTGATCTTGCACCAAGTTTTAAGGACTGTGATAGTTTGTCGAGTTCAAGAATTGGTCCTGTGTACCTATAAAATAATTAAAAATATAAATTTCTGTGAACTGCATATTACCAGAATATAAAAGGTAAGTCTATTATCATGATAAATAAGGGATGATTGATAGTTTACTTTAAGTACTTAAAATTCTTTTCTCAGAGTTATAAAAATCATATCAAATAAATTTTACTTGATATTATAACTTCCAATTACTTACCCAACATCTTCAAGCATTTTGAGCAACTTCTCTTCCGTACCGGTCATGTCGACCATGTTTCTCTAGTCCAGATTTTTGCTATTATTAAGCAAAATGTATAGTAATGAGGCAAATATAAAACGTATTTATTCGACAATTGCAAAACCAAGTGTGCTATGATAACAAAATATTTCCTCACCGAATCACTCAATCAATTCTTCAATTCACCTGTATTGACCATTGATCTATATTCACCGATAAACGCAAAGATCGGAGTCTTGCAATCTTGTGAAAGATCGCGTCACACGCAATGTAGCCAATTTTGCTCCGGTTTTCTGCGCACGCGTGACTCGAAAATCACGCACCCTACTAACGCCCTCCCCGGAATATTACGGCGAAAGTAAAAAGCAATAATTTAAAAAACATATAATAATAAAAGAAATACATAAATGTAGCATAACACAAAAATGCTTTAATATGCATTTTAAAAAACAACAGAACAAAATTCATATTTTTTTTAAAGCTGGAGACTTTCTATTTGTTTTGTAGGTTTAATTAAACCCATTTATCTATTAAAAATTTGAAAGTGCACAATAGAGAAAATACTAGAAATAGAAATAAATATTAAATATTAAGAAGAGCAATTTGGAATTATTTTACTTTGAACAAGGGAGCGGAATGGCTTAATTATTCCTAATTCTTATATCCTGATTTATGATTCGTTAATGTATTCTCCATTTCCTCGTTTCAAAATGAAATAATTCTGATTTCCTATTCCTAATATTCAATATTTATTTTAATTTTTAATATTTTCTCTATTGTGCCGAAATCTGCTGCGATATTTGCATTTCGCGATTTTTTTGAATTTAAGATTGCAGCACCGTCGGCCACCATCCTGAAACAGTTGCTCAACTGTGTCAAACCGTTGCTAATAGGTACTGATCTGGTAAACGTACTGAAACGTACGTAGGCGTCATCATGGTGCGTAGGCAGTAGCGTTTTTGAGGAAGAAGCGAGAGTTTGTTTTGAATCGATAGTAACATGGGCATCGCTTTTCGTTATTATGGTAATTCGCGCGTCTAGGAGTGGCATCGTCCCACGAATTCGCGATGATGGAGCAAAGCGACAGCGGTGAACGTCGAGCGACGAATTAATCGAGCAGGACTTTGTGCGCGGTGTGTGTGTTACACGATGTCGCGGAGCTCGGAGAAGCTTCGCTTTGTACGCCGAGTCTTCGAGTGGAAGAAGAGGAATAGTGGTGCGATTCTGCTCGTGGTGTGCCTGTTTGCGCTGACCACGTCGTTGCCAATCGCTTATGCGAATACCGAGCAGATCCATGTCCCAACGGGCATGAATCGTTGTCCAGTCGAGTGCGCTTGTCTCGGCAATTTGGTCTCCTGTAGCGACCTGCAGTTGATCGAGGTACCGAGTGGGCTGCCTCCGTGGACAGAGATTCTGTAAGTAAATTCATTGTCAACAAACATTGTCAACAAACATTGTCAATAAACATTGTACGGTCATTGACAGTCGAAAAAAACAATGTTGTTTGTTTATAGCAAATAATATTTTAATAGTTTTTCTATGAGCTTAATTGTATTCTCTACAGCAGTTATATTTTAGAGTTACAAATTGTAATTTTATTTATTATCAGAAAAAGATATGAACAACTTTATTATTATACTTTTAATCTATGATTAATTTGTTTGCACGGATGTAGATTAGAGCTAAGCGCATTTACTTCCCGTGTAACGCAAGCTAAGGTAGATAAGATATCCATTTATAATGGAAATAAAAGTGATCAGTGATAGGGATATATGTATTTTATGATCAGTTATCAAAGATTTTTATATTATACTTTTGAAATTTTCTGATAATCATTGATACGCAGAAACAATATTTATATAATAATTTGTTATTTATAAAAATTTCTCATCACAAATAATAAAATATTTCAATAGTATTCTAAATTATCATTTATTAAAATAATATTAAAAAAATATTAAAATACGAAGTACATATTAATTGCACATATAAATTGTACATATTAATTTTTACGTTTCAATCATTTCTTACAAAATTGTATCTTTTTTTTTAATAACAAAATACGATGTTGATACGTTTAAAATGCAGATTGATAATTTACTTGTTTGTTTCAAATAAAAGTTGGTACATAAGCAGCAGTCATTATGCAGCAATTTATTATTTATTGGATGATAACTGTTATTATTCTATATTGTTTGGGAGTCGAATCAAGGGCGGTAATATTACTTGTTATGGCTGCATGTGGGTCGCTTGTCTCTTCACTGCACTAAATGGTCAGATTGATGAATCCAACTCTACAGATACATGGTTAGGTTTCTATAGCCATATAGGGTGCTATGTGTGATGATGGCTGATCATTGTTGAGTCTCCCAGTATTCACAGTCAAGGATAGCAAGATCAAAGTAGGAAAGATGTCATGTCTATGCTATTTAAGGAATTGATGTATACTCTTAACCAGGGTTATATTCGTTTTGTACAACATATATCTAAATAAGGAAAAAGTTTTTATATTAAATTTCCTTGTAGAGAAATGTAATTGGAAAATAATTTTTTACATTTATATTTGTATTGTATTGTTTATTAGCATCAGAGGACTGAAAAGTATTGAACTTGAAATAATTTAATTATATATATATATATATATATATATATATGCTAATGTATTAATTAATCCTTACATCATTATGTTGATAGGAAACATGAATGAGATACAATTTTGTTTTTATTAATTTATTATTTGAAAAATAATTTAAACAAAATTGTTTTTTTTTATTTTATTTGAATTTTTTTCTTTTATTATTTTATTTAGTATATGAAATTTATTGCTTTATTTTTATTTTTCAGAGAATTGATGGGTAATAATATTGCAAACTTAGAATTTGACTCATTACTTCATTTAACAAAACTCAAAAAACTGTAAGCATATTTTTTTAACGTTTAATTTACGAAAATAAAAATGTGTAAGTTTTGTAACTCATGCAACTTTATTAATGAATTGTCTATAATTTCAGAGATGTAAGTGCTAATAAACTCAGAGATAATTTTACTATTGTCTTGTCAAACGTTGCACAATTACGCGAGCTTAAAGTGAATAAAAATCACTTGACACAAGTGCCAGATCTTGTATTTGTTAAGAATATTACTCATCTCACACTGTAAGTACTCGGCATATGTAGAGTATAAAAATTTTTTAACGTTTAATTGTTTGAAATAAAAAATATCTTCTTAATATTTTTTATATAATAGGTTGAGCGTTATCAATATTATGATTATTTTTTACAGGTCTCATAACTTAATTTCCAATATAAATGGAACTGCATTGCTCAGTTTGCCACAGCTTCAATCTCTGGATCTCAGTGGGAATAAAATAAGTGTCCTTAAAAAAAGGTCCTTCCTTGCTCCTAACGAGCTTACACATTTGTACGTATTTCAATTATATTTTAAATGTCTGTGTGTTATATAATACAACAATATTATTCAATATTTTTATATTTACAGAAATTTAAATGGAAATCACTTAAATGTTATTGAAAATGGAAGTTTGGATAATCTAACTTTGCTGGAGGAACTTCGTTTGAATAAAAACAATTTGACACAACTGAAAGATCTATTTATGAATCAGAAAAAATTACGAATACTGTAAGCACCTACATATTTTCATCTCAACATATTCGTAGTATTTATAAAATATTATACTGAAGAATTTGTACAATATTATCGTCTAATATGTACATTATAACATTACAGAGAGGTGAACAGAAATAATCTGCAGCAAATTCACGGATTAAGTCTGAAAAGTTTACAAAGCTTGAAACAGTTACACTTAAAGAGGAATAGAATTAACACGCTGGATGACGGAGCTTTTTGGCCACTTAAAGATTTAGAACTATTAGAGCTCGATTTTAATATGCTGACCACTATAAAGAAGGGTGGTTTGTTCGGCTTAGAAAATCTGCAAAAGTTTACCTTGTCGCACAATAAGATTTCGACGATCGAGCCTCAGGCGTGGGATATATGCAAAGAAATAACAGAGATGTTAGTAATCCTCTTTTAATTGCATCGAATAATTTTATGACAAGAATCGTGAATGAAATGATTTGTATATCTATTATTAATTTTGGATTTTTATTTTATTTCAGAGATTTGTCGCATAATGACTTGACCTCTATAGAACGGGGCTCATTCGAATATCTCACGAAGCTGGAAATACTTAAACTGGATCATAACCAGATCGCATACATCTCGGACGGAGCGTTCAATTTTACACCAAATCTTCGTGTCCTGTATGCATACCTTTTATAGATCGCACAAATTTCCGCCATGTTGCGATTGCTGTGTTATAATTGTCATTTTACTTTAAAGGGAACTTAATTTCAATAAGATATCCTACATGGTAGAGGATATCAGCGGTGTGTTTTCACCGCTCAGTCAGTTGTCGAAATTGGGTCTGGCGCACAACAAGATGAAATCTCTAAATCAGAACGCCTTTGCCGGCTTGAGTCGCGTCACCGAGCTCGACTTGATCGGAAATAATGTTACGTCCATTCAGGAAAATGCGTTTCTGCCGATGACCAGCCTGATCAAACTTAAGATAAACACATGTGAGTTTGAATTGTGCATAAGTGTGTTATAAATATAGATATTTAAGATTTAATCATACGATGCGCATCTTATGCTCATCGTTGCATGTAGATTTAATTATACATACATTTTTGCTGTCACTTTTTTTTTTATTGTTTCCTTTTCTATTTATAAACAGGGAACTTGGTTTGCGATTGCGGACTTCAATGGCTGAGCATGTGGTTGCGAGAACATCGTTACAATGAAGCTGAGCTGTACTGCGGTTATCCGCAATGGTTGCAGGGCATGTCATTGATGCATTTGCATCATGCGAACTTCACTTGTAGTTAGTATTATTGTAGTAAAGTAAAAGAGTTACAGCTGCGTAGAATATTTAAATGGCCTATTAAAATTTGTTGTTCTTTATTTTTTAAATTTTACGTTTTTTTTTTTAAATTGTACTATATTCTATCATAGACGAATATCCAAAACCACTGATCATCGAAGAACCGAAGGGTCAATTAAGCACTAAAGGTGGCAACGTGACGCTGGTGTGTCGCGCGACCAGCACCGCTGACGCACCGCTTTATTTCACGTGGAAACATGACAATGTGGAGTTAATTGATGCGAATCTGCAGACCAGCTCCGGGTCTACCGAGGACGGAGCAACCGAGGCTACATCTTTTTTACACCTTATTAACGTCACTTATGCTGATGCGGGAAAGTATCAATGTACGGTAGCAAATAATTATGGAACTACGTATTCGTCCAAAGCCAAACTAAGTGTGTTGGGTAAGTTATTTACATATTGTTCTTTATTATACAATATCAATGATTGTTTGCATAAATGTTTTGATATATAATTTTGATGTGAAGCTTTTTAAGAAAACCTAATTTTTAATTAAGTTATTTAAAAGTGAATTTAAGACTTCTAGAAAATAAAAACAATTTGATTGATTTAATTGAGATTCTATGTAATTATAAATTAAATAACATTTTTTATGCACTTTTCCGTACAGTTTATCCGACATTCTCTAAAATTCCGCACGATATACGAGTGCATGCCGGGAGTACCGCTCGTTTGGAATGCTCTGCCGACGGACACCCGTCTCCTCAAATAGCTTGGCAAAAGGATGGTGGAAATGATTTTCCGGCCGCGAGAGAAAGGAGGATGCATATGATGCCGACGGACGACGTGCTCTTTATTATAAACGTGAAAATGGCCGACAGCGGAATTTATTCTTGCACCGCGCAAAACATGGCTGGTCTTATCATTGCAAACGCTACGCTCACCGTTTTGGGTGAGCATCATTTTCTTTTTAATATTGAGTCTCGGGATTGAAAGAATATTTTCATATGTGATGCTTTCGCTTTTTAGAAATACCATCCTTCGTAAAACCTATGGAGAACAAGGAAATAATGGTGGGCGGCTCGATCGTGCTCGAATGTATGGCCAACGGTGCCCCACGCCCGAAATTATCGTGGCGAAAGAACGGCAGCCCGTTGGAGCCAACTGAACGGCACTTTTTCACCGCCGAGAATCAACTGTTGATTATCGTCAACACGATCGCGAGTGACGCCGGCAGTTACGAGTGCGAGATGAGCAATTCGTTGGGTAGCGTCGTCGGCGCGTCGTATCTCACAGTTAATCCAGGTAAGTAGATTTTAATAATGCGAGTGAGGAATTTGATAAAGAACTTTTGCTCATCTGACATTATGTCTAATTGCAGCCTCGACTTCCGTACTGAACGACTCCGAAATACTAGGCGTGATAATAATAACCGTCGTGTGTTGCGCCATTATTACTTCCGTGATCTGGGTGGTCGTAATTTACAAGACCAGACGGCGCCTGAATTCCGCTCAAGACACTGCCGTCGCGCAACCGGCGACGACCGTTATACTGACCGTTCCGGACGCACAAACGCAATTGTATTTGGACACGAGCTCGCAGCATAGCAAAGACAGCGGGACCGGAGACAGCACTAATCCCAGTAACGATCAGCTGCAAATGTGCTTGCCCGGTAAATAATTTTTAGTTAAAAATCTTACTTTTGTTACAAAAATTACACTAATAAAACTTATGAATAAATTTATTAATATTTCTAATATATTATCATGATTACATTCATCAGAGGAGATCGTGACTAGCTCTGCCACCGAGCACAACGAAGAAGAATTGGGAACGATAAGCGTTGGCGATCCTCTCTTGCGCTACACGAATCACGAGCGGCATGCGAGCGAGAACGCCGACAGCATGGTTTGAAGCGGGAAGAAGTGCGAGCAAGGGGATCACCGCGTGCAACATTTCTGCAATTGGTAAAAAGTTTTTTTTTGCGAGAAGAAATGTATTTGTGAACGTGGTGTTGAGATTTTCAACAAGAGATAAATATTCTGTCAAGTCGTGTGAATTGACGAGCCGTAGTATTATAAGATACAAGGATTTTTCACAGTTCCACTGTCTCAAAGTGACCTATTTAGAAGTGAACGTTGATCCGCGCGACAGTGCGTAACGAGATATTCGGAGTATCCGATGCTACTGACGGATCAGTGAGTCACGGTACAAGTACAACAGGAACGATAGCGAAACATTTACGTGTCATCGTCTCATCGTATTTATTACTGACGCAACTCTCGTTAAGCCGACATAGGGAATCGAGCGATACGAATTGTAAATAGTTAGACTAAGTTAACTAGTATTATCACACTGTGCGCGTCGCACGTCAGGTGTTTTCAGAAAACACGATGCCTGATACAATTCTTTTTAAGAAACAATATAATCTACTGTGAGTTTCATAGCCACTGCGACATGCGCGAGGACATTTATTATAAATTTATTATAAACTGCAAAAATCCATATATATATCTTAGACCAGCCTTTTGTGATAGATATTTATTCTAGACTTATGGCGTAAAAATAGGCGGCTATTTATAATACGCAGAAAAGGAAATGTCATTTTATTCTGGAAAGGCGATCATCAACGGGTTGGATGTATATCCGCGCACCAAAGCGTCGACTTTAGGTATCCTGTGCCTCCTCTTTTTATTTCTTATTCATAGTCGGACGCGACAGCGAACGGTATATCCTGGATTAATTTTAATTCGTTCATTGATCAAACTATTGCTCACTACTAATAGATACAATGTGTTTTTTAGGTATAGAAGATTATTATAGCTTTCGTAGGCATTTTTGTTAGTATTAATAACTACTAAGTTTAAACGCATACGACATGAGACTCTACAAATAATCTTCCAATCTTATCGTGTATAGTTGTTTTCAGGGTTTTGAGTATTTATCGAGATATCGCAATCCTTTATTGAATATTATCAAAGGTGTAAGAATTTATTTCTGTTTTCCCTTGTGATTTTATGTTTGCATACATTTTATCGGACTTTACATAATTAAGATGAGTTTAGAGATTATATTGGAGCCCCTGTTTTATAATATTGCAATTTTGTACAACAACAGACTTCGCAACTACATCTTGTTTTCTATAATATATCGGAAGAGAAATTTATAAACAATGCACAATTTGTAAAAAAAATTTTTAATTAATTTAATTAACACAAAAAGGTTAAAGAGAAGCAAAATAGCCAATAGTAAAATTGCAAATTTGAAAAAAACTGCATTATCAATTGAAAATAAATATGAAAAAAATATAAAAATAAGGACAAATAATAGTATTCAATGAAAAATGACATACATTTCCATCAGCTCTGATTGGATTCACATGCGGCGAGAAGACATTCTTATGGAGAAGTCATTAGGCCTTGAATTATATTCTTTAATTAAATTAAAAAATTTTCTTTTTAGATTTGCATTGTTTATAAATTTAAAAAAATTTTACAATGTGCAAATATTTATACGCACACATCATTCTACTTCGTTATTCAGAATCAAATACATTTGGCTATCGATGCGTCATTACGGGATAAAATTATGACTATAACACTTAGAGATTAGATTAATAGCTTTCTCGTAGTATATTCGTGACAATTTTAATTATACGATCTCTCGATTTTAATTCGACGTTTTGAATTTAGAAGTAATTGATTCTAAGGATACTTTTTCTAAAATAAGAAAAGGGTGAAACGATATTCTCTCGTTTCATAAGAAAGTTCGAACAATAATGCGCAAGTAATTATGAAAGTATAAATTTAAATCAAAGTCTTTATAATATACCAGGCAGTTATTATTGGGAGTAAATCTTGCGATATATAACCTATATATATTTTTCTATGACTTTATTGGAAAAAAAAATTGAATGACATTAAAATTCTCGAGAAAAGAGCCAGTACTACTATTACTTAATTAGCTGCAGTCACACGCGCGGCTCCTTCCATGAGTTACGACTCGGATATAAACATTGCGTGCGGTCTAAACATTGTCTGATGTGCGGAAAGTATGATGTGCTCATTATGAGTAAAATTCAAGTATTGTGTAAAGTAAAAATATAATATTCCACTTATTTGTGTAACTCGTGCGTACTCATAATGTATATGTTCAAGCGATGCGAGAATAGTTATGAATGAATCAGAAAAGAAAAAACAAGCATACGTTTTATTAATAGTCTGTGTAGAGTTTTTTCCTTGCTAGTAACGAGTATTATAAATTATATAGTCAACGAATAGATGCTCTATTGCGACATGGTTTTCTGGCTTTTGCGCCCGTGTGATACACCAAATAAGGCATCTGTTTCTTATTCAGTATTTTCCTTGTTGTTATATAGTATTGTGTACAAAAAAAAAAAATACAAATAATCGCCTACAATGTACTTCCTGCGTTATTATTTACTTCCAATAGCGTTAAAAAGATAAAATCACTTACCTTGTGATAATTTGAAACAAGAAAATTCTTAAAATTACTTTTATATTAAAACTAAACTCGCTAAAAAAATTGAAGCATTAAAGAAAGCATTAAACGAATGTATAATACATAAATATATTATGTTATGTATTCATACATATGAATGTGTTTCATATATACACTTTTTTCCTTAATTTCTAGAGAATAAATTATTCTTTATCGTCAGCCAGTTTTTAGATACAACTGGATCAACGGGTTTATTTTCGAAATGATGTGGTGCGGTAATAAAGAAGAAAAATCGAATGCGATAGAACAGCAAAAACCTACTTATTTCCAAATATCACAATATTATTCATGTGTACATATAATACATATATTCTACAATCTGTATGAATTTCGAGATTTGTTGATCGCTTATGTTCACCGCGCGGCCGAAATTCGCATTCACTTCACGTAAGTATATACATAATAATTATTTGTTAATAAATAAAACTTGCTTTTATAAAATGTGGGTAAAAAATTGATAAAAGATTCAGAAAGAGACAAAAGTATAACTTTCTTTGATACATGAAGAGTTTAAAATATGAAGATTTTCTTTCTTCAATATCTAATCTAATCGTAGTTAGAATTATTATATATATTACATTTGAAAAATTTAACTCTTGTTTTGCGGGAGCAAGAAGTCACAACATGTTTTCTAATAAATCTGCTAGAAATGATTATTTATTAAAACGCATATAACGCAAACCTGTAAAAATACTTATATAATTATCTGATGATTTCCACAATTATGACACATCTTCAGCAGAAAGCGTCATTCGCTTGCTTCGTGCGTTGCTTCTGCTAATACTACTTTTTTCAATAAAAAGATATCCACTAATTAAAATATATCATTTTTCACTGTTTAATTCCAAAAATCACGCATAGAGTAGAATATAATTCATATGAAAAAGGTCTTTAATAGACTTTTCCATCACGATTGAAAGGAAAAATATAGTTCGTTCACCGCATTTTTCCTCGTGATGCGAATTTCGCCGCATGCATGCACTTACACGCGTTAAAATGTATAGGAACGCTTCCTTTGAGGTAGCGCATCTCTGATACGAGATATCGTTTCGTTTGCAATTCGATCTTCATTACACAAACACCGATTAACGCACATCACAAGCATCGTGGTCGAAAGTTTAACAAATCGAGCTTATATCTAATCGATATTTGTGTAAAACTTTATTATATACAATTGCATCCTTATTTTCGCTTCAGCTTCTACGTAAATGATTGCAAGAAGGAAAATAGTTCATGAAGTATTCTTGAGTTTAATTTCTTAATATGCTTTCTCTCAAAGCCAACAAACAAAACTCCTAAATAATTGTTCCTTTCGGAAGAGCTCGGAAGAGCAAGATAAATTCGTCATGATCACAAAATAGCAATTTTAGAGTATGAATTTCTCGGATCAAATCACTTTGCAAGAACTTTCAATAATAAAATTTTGTCGACAATTATAAATTCAATTTCATGTCGTTGTTATTTCCGTTTTAATATTTATTTACAATCATATAAAAATGCAATTCGATTAAAATAGATTTGCAAAATGATTTGATGCAAGGGCTTGCGCGATTATAGAGTACTAAGAATCTTAATTATAACATTGGAAAAAAGATATAGAATGAAACTATTTACAGAGGACACTTGTGATCAAAAACAGTACGTGCTAATGTTCCATGATATATCCTGCGCCAACTATCTTCATATCTCACTTATTAAGCGCTATTTAAACGAAGATTCATTCGAGATATGATCGAGTCAAATGTTTAGAGAGATATGCTAATAATACTAAATGAAAACCTAAATTTTAGCAGGACGAATCAGGACGTTTTCAACCAATTAATTGTTGCGTAACATCATTCATCCTAAATACGCGTGTTTGCCGCATCTCTTGGCACTATGCGCTATGATCTACGTGCACGCGGTCGCAATACGCAGTCTAAAAATACGCAGACGGCAAAACAAGAGCAAGGATCATAGCAAGCATGGCGCCAGATATTCTATTTATAATAAAATCGGCGATCCTCCGCGGTATTAGCAGTAATTAAATCGACTGCACCTTCGTTCAATCCGTTTTCACTCTGGGCCCGGCCAGTTAAATGCGTCGTGTACGGCAATTCAGTTCGAATCTAACGAACTCTACATCTATATTTATATAAGTAATACAAGTGTGGATATATTTATTGACGTTTTTATATACAACATAAAAAGAGAGTACATAAAAGAAAGTAGGAAAGAGGTAATCAGTATGCCGAACCCTTATGACACTAGTCAGACATTTTTCCTACTGTGCATCATTGTGTATGTATTACTGTATATAAATAATTATCCGCAATCAAATTAGGTCGTAATTAAAAAGATCCGTACGATTCGTCAGAGGCTTTCTCGAGTACGTCGCAAAACAAATAACCAGGCACTTTCGCATTCTGGGCAGAAATAAAACTTTTATAAACCTAAACGCTCCGTTCGCACGCTCGACCGATATCTGCGACGTAATCGAGAAACGCCTTATCGAGAATTACGACTTTATTGTTTTGAGATATCGCGTTCGCTTAACGTATGCAACGAGAGAGCAGAGTTTACACATGCAGATACACAATTAAATAAACATTCGCTCTGCCGATAATAATTCTACACATAACGTTTCTATTACACAAACTCTTACTTTAAGCTACAGAAAATATATAAATACACACCGTGAAATCATGGTCACTTTAGCGAATAAAAACTAGTTGAGCGCGTGAAAGCTGTTTCGAAAGATTTGGCAAAGGAACTTTCAACCTCTTACATCGCGAAGTCACGGATGGTTTAAAAAAATAAATAAATCGCCGTACACAGCGCATTCGATTTTCAGACGCTCCCCGATCGGGTTCAATCGCCAATAATGCCGGATAAACATGCTCGCTCTCGTTTATAAAAATACTCAGCAAAAATACAACATTCTCGTCAATAATTTATCTGTAATGTCGTCGATTATCCGCTATCTACATATTTGTCTATAAAACAATGTATATATATATATATATTTGTATATATATATATATAATTTATACCTACAATTTTCGATATCCTGCTACGCGCGATATATTCTTTTATAAATCACGTACACTCATTCTCTCAGTTTCACATGCGCACATTTAGTCGTCCGCAAATAGCAGAGTCCATTGCCCTTCTGTCTTACGGCTGTTTTTTTAATCGCTCTCTTTCCTTGTTATAAAATCACTCCGCGCGAGTAATTATAGTATTGGCGTACTCGCAAAAAACACACATACTTTCTCGCATTGCGAAAAGAGCCTGCTGGATAGAGCATTGTGCAGAGTTAACCTCCGTATGTACAATATTTGGATGGCACTGTGGGATTCAGCTTTATATTTAAACGATCGTTTAGCGTTTTGATTTCGCGCTTGCAAGAATTATCTTAAAGACAATCTTAACTTAAAATTAGCCCGAGATAATAGCGTATCAAATATAGTATATCAAAGCTGACCGCGCATTTATAACAGTTTCATTTTCTCGCACGATTCTTGTCCGAATAAATCCTGCTAAAAAAGACATCACAAACTTCCTGCACAATTGTACCTTCATTGGACAACGCAATAAATAATTCGCAAAATTCCACTATTCTATTGTTCAATGTTTCATTAAATTACAGCTAAATCCTGCCTATCGCCGAGATAGATCGTCCCATACGCATACGAATTTATACAAATTCATACACACGCTCTGTCTTTACGCTAATATTTACACTACACGCGTCTACTTCTCTCTTCCGCCCGCTCCATTTTCGAATACGGCACCATTTAGACCAGACGAAAGCGGCAATCGGGATTCCCGAGACTTCGGTCATGCCTCCAGAATTCCGCGCGATCATCGCTTTTCCGCGTATTTCGCAGCCTCGATTTCGGACGACCTCGCCGAAGTGATGTCACGCCGTTCTATTGGCCAAACATCTGCGCGTTCGTTTAGCAGCAGATAGTCTTCCACATCGGTTCGCACCGACCAGTTTCTCTCGCTCTTCTCCTCCAAACACCTGCCAGTGTAAATTCCAAGCTCTGGCGTACGGGAATACCCGGTCGCGTCATCCCTGCCGTTCCCGCATCCTGCCGGCCGCTTCCCTTCTCCCTACATGTGTGCGCGTATCTTCTTTCACTAGTCATGTTAACAATATCGATATTCGGTCTAGACAACAAACGGTCATCAATCGTTGTGTATGTCCCTCAGTTCGGTGTACGCAATCCGCTTCCGGTACAGATTGCTGCCACTCGACAGTCCTATTCTCTTGTTCGGCATCGTGGACGGGCCAGGCACGTGGTACTGCCGTCTCTTGTACACGACCATCCTGTACAAGAAGAAAAAAGCAATTAGGATCTGCACAATTATCTTCCTAAAAAAAAAGAGAAAAAATATAGATTTAATAAAGATGTTGAAAAATCGTTTCCTAACTTTTTACGATTACTCTCCAATTTCTGGTTATAAAAAGAATATGTTATAATGTTGCGACGGATAATTAAGACGATTAAAACTATTGTGATATCATCCATCAGTGTGCGCTATTTTTCATCATTCTGCAGATGTATATTTCGATTATAATTATTATAAGATCCACGTCGGAAATATCGCAGTTATTTTTTGTAAACACAAGTATCAAAGTAGTTAATCAGTTTAAAGAGCATGACACTATTGTCAGAGAGCTCTTATGTATCATTATGTGCATTAAGATACGGCGCAAGGTGACGCGTTATCGGAGCGTTGCGTCCGAGCATCAAATTTTCGTACAAAGCAATTTTTTTAATTATTTTTTCAAGAACAAAACATGTACAGCTGAGTGTAAAAATTTTCAGAACTTTACTTCTACTTCGAGAAAAGTTGTTAACAGAACTTTTAAGATAAGAATTCTTATCTTAAAAATAGACTTAAATCAGACGCTTCTTTCGCAGGCGCTATTTTAATCCAACGTTCATTGCGACATCAGAAAAAAAAAAAAACAATTCCTTCATTCATTTTTCTCTCCTGATTTTATTGAGCCAAGTGTGCTGTTTCCGCTGAAAAATTGTTTCCTCGCCGCGATTTATTTTGTAGGTGATATAAATAGCAAGACGCATACGGAATTACCGCCGTTATATCAATACGATCGCAGGTCGGTCCTTGAGCGCGATCTAATGTCGGCAGGAATTTGCGCAAAAAGCCTGAATGGAAAATGCAGTCACGCCTACATCACGTGTATGTTCATGACGGCCATTCGTTTCCTCCTCTTTCTCTGTACTACCACACATGCCGGTGCGTTGGTAATTGTATCGGTACCTTCACGAGAGTACTGATGGACGTAGCTAGTAGCTTCATCACACCTATCGCGATAACATCGTAATATATCGCGGTGTTTCGTCTAACAGCGATACGCGCGGTGCCTGAAATACGCGTTACCGAAGCCGAGAGATATTCTGCGAGTGTTCTGCGAAGTCCTCTGTAAAAAAATTAATTAATCCAGGAAATACATTTGATACGTTTAAAATAATACATCCATGACGACTGTTTAAATATCTATTTTGGAAGGTGAATATTTTCTTTATCTAGACATTCGAAGAAATTAATACAAAGATTTAATAGCTTGGAAATTTAGCTTTTGAATTGTCATACTTGAAAGAATTAAATCCTTAGATTCAGAAGTCAGATGTTGCAATTCGGCGAAAGAAAGTTCATAATTTCGTGAATATTCGTATCGTAAAATGCTTAAGACCTTTGCTCGGATTAATTTTTGAGGATGGCTTCACACACATCTCCTAGAATAAATCTCTGCGTAGCGGCACGCATCTTTTGGGTCATCCTGTACAGTAATCATCACTGCTATCTACGTAATTACTATTGACGGTAGAGAACTAAGCACCATCGAAGCTCGGCGGCTTGCTGTGTGCGAAAATTTCCACTTGCGCAATGCAATGGAATGATAATTATTGCAATAACAAAGACTCAAATGCCATCTATTGAAAAAGAAATATCCTTGCGAATTAACAGTATATTCTTATGCAGATATTTAAAAATATATCTACTGCGAGCATTATTTCAGTCTCTTTTAATTATTCACTTCATGCCTTTTCACTTTGTCAAAGAATAAAATAACTCTCTTGAATTTCTACGGTTATTTGTTATCAAAATTAAATACATTGAAACAAGCAAGCCATTTCTGCTCATAAAAAAAAATGTACAAATAAATTATTACATACAATTACATTCATATATAATTTCTATTAATTTAATAATTTTATTTCATGATGTAATTCTTTTTATAATTACTTAACAGACATACTTGTACAACAGGCATGGACTTACCAAACCTTCCAAACAAACCGAGGACATTTTACCCGATCTAGTTCCAATAAGCGTATCCGGAATGTGTCTTTCCCCTTTTAAATATTCAAATGTTAGAAAACGACATGAATGGCAACATGCAACGTCGGAGGTTTCGGCCCAGGATAGGTTGCATGGACATTCTATTTATTTATTTTATCGTACAAGGAGGTGGGCTTGGATGCGGGGAGCATGCGTAACACACACACACACACGTTTTGCACGAATAGAAGGGAAAAAAAAGATAGTATCCGTTAAACAAGAATAATCGCCGTCGAATACTGGTTATTTAAATAGCTGCCGGTGAGAAAAACCCCGTGCAATACTTCGCGATGTCTCTGTGTATACCTGCGCATGCATTGTGAAAAATGTCATCTTGGTTGAAGCGGCGATTTGAAAAGGTCGATATCTGAAATAGAAGTACAAAGTAATCGACGAACTCGTTAATGGCTCGCTCATCGGCTCGGAATAACTTCGCACAGACATCAATAATCAAATGCCCGAACATTGAGACGCATATAAACAAAGCTGATGAAAACTTAAGAGATAATTGTGCGTGTGCATAAGCTGTACTCTATAAATAAATATGCAATAATAAATCTTTCTTTCCTTTTTCTTAAAAAATGCATTCCTTTAATTTTTTATACGTTTTATTTTCATGAGGAATCTATTCAATAGATTCGCGGGAGTATAGGCATAATAGTTCGCGAGATCATAGCTCTAATATTTCGCTATAAGTATATAGTGTGTGTATCGAGTGCTGACAGATTTACTACAAAAGGGAATGATCGTTCACGAATGGACCGGAGAGGAATATAAAGTATAGAGGCGGCGAATTTCGCGAATTGGAAGCAAACTATCTATCGTCGTTACGGACGGCCGACCGTCGCCAATGACAGCCGCACGCCCGTTTCTTCACTTGCCACCTCAATGTTTCCCTCAAGTCGTTTAACGCACCGTGTTTATTCGCCCGCTACGAGTTATGCATGTTTAAGGCACCCTTCGAGCAACGACGAAGGTTGAAGGAGTAATTTTGGCGACGCCCAACCTTCACAATGTCGCCATTGCGAGTCATAAAAGTAAGGTAGCTACAGGCGCCGTACGCATGACTGACTAGATGAGTACGCTCTTCTCCCGAGACGAGAGACAGAGTGGGACTCTTTTCTCGTTTATACTTTTTATTCGTAATTAATCCTGCTGAAGCCGTTTTTTCTTTAACTTTCTCATTGCACCTTCTTATATCCTTCCTCTTTCCTTCCGAGGAACCTTTTTCCCCGACGGCCTCCGAAATACCTCGGAGACGTCGGTTTTCGTATTATTTTTTTTTTTTTACTATATATATGCAACATAATAATTTATCTAACAGCTAATAATACTAGTATAGTAATTAATGGCTAATCTCAAAACAGTATACATCGGCTTATCGTAGAGGCTCTAAAGAAATCATCTGCGGCATTTCAGACCTAAAGACGAAGGGTAAACTCCTGCAATAGAAGGACGCTAGAACGTAGTTCGACCAGCGAAGTAGTTCGTTAAATAATCACAGATTATCCTTCGTAACAGCGCACGTCTGATGGAATGATTAAGTAATAGACGATTGTCTAGCGATAATAGATCCTGCCTACGTTATCCGTCAGCGAGAAGGGCCACGACATTCCTATAAATAATATGAGGATACAATTCCGTAAACCGAGAAGACACTCGTCTGCAAAAAATCGCTACTAGCGATATAGCCCTGGAGATGATAATCTCCGAAAAACAAATCGATGTACAATTTACAAATGTACAAAATGTACAAAAAACATGTCGATAAGAATCGCGAAGAGTGTGAAGTAAAAGATTGTATCGCATAACGTAAGAATTTAAGCAATTGGTGATACGATATCGATATCGATATCGATGGTATATCGCGAGCAAGCACCGCCGGATAAAGATTCGTGTCCCTTCCGAAATGTCACACCTAGATAATACCGTTAAAAAAATATATATATTCCGCGGCTTATAGAATACTCTTTGGAAGCACGTGTGTGGCAAAAGAAAAAAAAAAGTTGACGGCCCCCTCACGTATTCGGAGTGTCTTACAGTAATATTCGTAAGAAGAACAGTGCCTGCACTTGCTTCTATTTGGTCCCTTTACCCATTACGATCTCTCTTCTCATCGATCCGTCCGGTTACCGAAACCGAACGAACGAGGAAGAAGCAAGAAATTATTACTTAGGTCGATTTCGTTTTCTCTTCACAGCTGAAAGTTTCCATCTATCCTTTTACACATATATCGATCTATCTAACGTATCTTTTTCGCGAATTTTATCCTAGTTGACTTAGATCACGTGGATATCTGAAACAGAAAGCAAAAGAAAACATTGTTTGACGCATACGTTCTTGAAAAAATGAAAAAGAAAAGAAAAAGCCACCAGTAAATAAAAAAAAAACGAGCTTTTTCCGTTCTTTTGCGACGCGGAATATTTTTTCTTCCGCCACATTTCTTTCGACACTCACCTCACCCTATAAATCCTGCTGCTAACGATATGATGAGCGCTAGAAGTCCGGTCAGCATTTGACCGGCTGTCGAGATGACCTGCGGTGGTGCCGCGTTCTCGACCACGATGTCGGGCGCGAAGTAATCCTCCGCCGTCAACTTGTCACCGTATTTATCCATCAAATCCATAACGAGTCCGTTCGACCAGCCGAAGCCAAGCTGTACTTCGTACTCACCTCCGCTACCGTGTCCGCCCGAGACGGTCGCGTCATACTACAATCAGAATTCAGAGTTTTCCCCCGCCTTAAAAATTTCCGCCTGAGAGAAAATTGCATGAATGATTAAAAAAAAAAAGAAATAAAAAATAAAGTAGTACAATTCTTATTATTAGAGAAATATGAATTGATTTGTATTTCGAAAATTGCGTAGAAGATTTATATTATTTTCTCAATTACAAGAATATATTAATATTTTTATTTTATTTATATCTTTACTTTCTTGTTGTACAAACATATTTATGTTCTCACTTTTTATTAATTTTTTTAAGATTATATTTAAAAATGGTCACCTTTTTTATTAAAATTACCTTTTCGTACATGCTGTGCGTTTCGTTGAAAGCTTTGTAGTTGCTGCGCACCCATCTCTGACTTATCTCGTAGGCCAGCCTCTGCGCCCACGGATCGCCCGTGTTGTTCAACGACATGATAAAGAAATATTGCAGAGGCGGCCAGGCATTGGGATAGTCCCATTGCTCGCCCGAGTGCTCCAGTGTCGTCGGTATGCCGCCCTGGTTCACCATGATTTGATTCTTCTCGAGGTACTTGAGCACCTTCGACACGTAATCCCCTCTCTTCGAGGCGTCGTAGCAATTTGTCCAGAGGGGTAGAATATTGGTCGGGTAGAAATAGTCCCTCTTGATGTCGTTTAGAATATCGTAATCCAACCAGGCGCCGACCTCCTCGTGCCACAACACCACTCTGACCGCCTCCTTCCACTTCTCGGCTATGTCGTTGTAATACGCGACCTTTGTCTCGTTGCCCATCTGACGATTGTACTTCGCCAGCAGCACGGCGTTTCGGTATATCATGGCGTTCAAGTCGACCGGGATTATCGATCTGGTCTTGAGATTCGTCAGATTACCTGCAATTCGTCTCACCGTCAGCCGAATTACTTTTCCGCTTGCTTTCACTCTCGCTCAATTTTGGAATAAAAAATATTTCTCTTCCAAATGTTCTTTCTTTATTTCGATTTTGAAATAGAAAAATGAAAAAAATAAATAAAAAATCGCGTCCTTAATCTAGAACGGCGTTGAGCAAGGTCGGGCAGCTTAAGCGTTACAAAACGGCACAATCTAACGCACCCGCTTGCGGCATCGTATTTTGCAAAATGCATTTTAGAGTACCGATGCCTCGAGCAAGGCTTTCACTTAGGAAACGAGACGGAGGGCCTTGAGGCGCGCGCAGATCTCATTGAAGATACGGTGTTTAATGTGGAATACGTAGCACAATAATTGCGAGTATGCTGCGCGTGGGTGTCTGCCTGTAATATATCATTATGACGCTGGTTCGATCTATGAAAAAAAGTATGATGAGCGAACAACGTAACGTTTTAGCTCGCTTCGGTATCGTTCAATATTAATCCTGGACGATGATTCTAGATAAAAAGACTGCGTTTAGAAAATATTCAAATGTTAATACGGGAACATCCTACAGTTCTTTCTACGCAAACACCTATTCTATTTTTCATTTAAAGATGGAAGATGGCTTTTAAATGCCTATAATTAGCTGCGTCACTTTCTGTCGCCTCGATAACAATACGTTTTATGCAGGCATCAAAGTAACTATGCTCATCAGTATAACTGCGCCCGACGTCACTCACCCAGAAAGACTTCTGTCTTCATCGCGCGGGAAGCAATTAAAGAATGATAATTACCCTGGTTGGTACCCTCGTGTATGAACCATCGGCTAGAAAAATCCCATCCGGACTCGGCCGCCGTTTTTAATTCCGCATAATAATCGTCCTTCTCTTCGGCAGTTCGAAAACTTTGGCTTGTCAGATAGTCCTCCCTGATCATCAAGTCGCGAGGTTAAAATGCGCAAGAACGCGTCGAGATTAACCGAGCTTGAGAATCATTCGATTGTAAAATTTCTTCGAGTGTTTCAAAAAAATTACAATTTTTTTTCAAGCGTCAAAAAAATAAGAATTTTTCATAACATTAAAAAATAAAAATAACAAATAAACGAAGAACTAATACGTCTGAATTTTGCAGAAAAGAATGTCATCTTTTTCGCTCGACAGTCGTGAACTTTTCTCAAGATTCGCTTCGTCATTGCTGCCATTGTCGGCTGGCGGAAGTCGCGTTACTTACTTATAGGATTCCGGTCGTGGGCCCGAGGATTCCTCGTAATATCTGGCGAGTGTGTAATTGGTCCCGTCTTTCTCGATATTTATAGTTCTATTGGTCATCCAGAAGTTGAACTCTTTCTCCAAGAGCCAGAGATTCTCCTTCAGCCACGCGTCGTCGCGGGTGGTCTTTAGATATTCCTCCACCATCGGTATCAGCAGCGGCGGATGCGAGCGCATCTTGTAGTAGACCCTGCCGCCGTTCGGTATGAAGCCGATCTTGTCAACGATCAACACGAAATTGTTCAGCATACCTCTGACAGTGGCGTGCATCTCCGACAGCAGCAGGCCCTTGATGATCCAGTACGAGTCCCAATAGTAGAACTCGCGGAATCTACCGCCGGGCACGATCACCGGATTCGGCACGTAGATGATCGAGTAGAGCTCCTCGTTGATTCTCACGTCGTCCTTCATCTTGCGGCCCAGCAGCTTCCAGATGTGATTGAGATCGGAGCCGAACTTCCGCAGCTCGTCGTCCTCGATCTTCTGCAGGAATTTAGGGCTCGCCGTCCAGTCGGCCGGGTCCCAGTCCTCGAATTCGTAGCCGGCCGCCTCGAATGTGTTGTTCACGAACTTCTCGACTTGGTGCTTGGTCGGCGCGTGGTTCACGCTCTTCATGAAATCCCGGAACGACGCCAGCGTCTCGTTCGGCGGCCGCTTCATCTTCATGTCGACGAAGTACTTGGAGTCCTTGTATATGCCGGCCATCTGTATCGTGTGCAGCAGCTCGCCGTGGCAGTATACCTCACTGGAAAGGCACGGTATATGGCTACTTGGCTCGGAGACGAGACGAGATCCTCTCGTCTGCGCGCGACTGGTCGCAACGATGGATTTTCTCGTTGGCCGAACCGGTCGCGGGAGGGTGATGAATTAATGAAAATTGGGTGATATCTCTATTCTGAGAAATGAACTTTGCACCGTAAAAAGAAAGTTTTAGACAAAGACAAAAAAAATCTTGATAAATGAGATCGACAACTGAAGAGTTTTAGCGAACAGAATTATAGAAATTTTTATTATCGATTGTTTTTTAAAAACAACTAGATGGTTCTAAAGATCTTCTTTACTACAGTGCAAGATCAATCCTGTTGAAGGGACTTATGTTAGACTTCGAAATTGTGCCGCGGCTTTGTGAAGTTTACGAGACACGCTTTTCAATTGTTTGCGGTTTTTGCGGTTGGATCAACATTTGGATCAATGTCGTGACCTCCAACTGAGTTGGAGATATCTCAGGACGCGTAAATTTCAGTAAGGATAAAAGAGCTACATTCTTTAGCCGCGAGAATAATATAAATTGTAGCTTCTATTTGTAAAACATGAGTATCGATGATTAGCCGATGATCGTAAACAATGATGATACGTCGATAAAACCGCAACTCACGTGAAGAATTACACGCCTGCTTAACGGTAGCAAAATACCAATCGCGCAATTACGTTTATTTTTTCCCATGAACTGTAAGCTGCTGTAAGTATTCTGATTCACTTCCGGGTACACCTTCAGCCAGACTAAAGGATTAGATCAGAGCTCATAAAAAGAACGCATTCGAACAAATCATTCGGACAAATGCGTGTTCGTGTAATAACAGTCGTTAAGTCCCATAAAAGAATATTCTTTCCACCGCAATTAAAAATATGAAACGTAAAAAGTCCGCATAAAAATATCTCCAACAATATTTCCCTATTTTAGTATTATCGTATTTTTTTACATGTATTTTCCTACGTAATTCTATACGATAAAAATATTTATTACTGCTCTCTTTAAATGCGAACAACAGAATAATGCACGCACATTTTGGCATACGAGTGCATTTTTGCTTCGGTTTCTAAAGATTATTTTTCATCAATTTCACACGCGTCAAACCGTGATATCGCGTTATTCGCGTGTAAATCGTTGCACGTGTCCGGTCTCCGTACGTGCGAAATCGTGCGACTTCTGGACGGCCTTGGTACAGAAATTTCTGCGTATCTCGCGACACACCGAGAGATGTGCTCGCACGTGTTCGCGCGCTTTCCACGCGACTAGTGAAATCGATCGTATCCAAAACAATTGTTCGTGGAAGGGGCGCGCGCCAGAGTCGATACGAAAATTCGCGTTCGCGTGATGGAATGCGCGAGGCAGCCTCGCGAAATGTGCCGTCTCATTATCATTACTAATACGCACGCTAACCGCCTTGTTCGCGAGACGAATAATAATAATTTTATTATTTGCTGGAAATCGACTCTCCTCGTTACACGTAAGCGAGATTACGCGAATTCTCGGCAACAGAGAATGCAAAGCGGACTCTCCGACATCGAACTGCTGATTGTTAGTTTGCAATTACGTGCTGATATGCTCTTTTTTTTAATGTACATATAATTATCCGCGTGAGATAATTGCGAATCCACGAAACTGTATTTCGATTAAAATACATTATAATCAAAAATAAAAAGATAACTGCGTTATTTTTAGCGATTATAAATAATATTTGAATTTCACTAAGTTATTTTTACTAAAATGAATTATCTTAAAAAATCAAATATTTATTATACAAAGCATATTTTTTTGTTAAAGATTATCTATGTTTAAAAATAATGGCGTGTTTTTATAGCAACGTTTGCAATGGTATTCTATTATTGTATAGAAATGAGATTGTACCGCTGATTTCGACAAAAATACGCGAAATAAATTTTTGTAAGGATAATAACCTTCAATTATGCTCGCCATTGCTGATTATAAATCATATTATATTTTCAACGTCGTACGAAATCTATGATAATTTTGTTTGAACATATGCGTTACTTCATTAATTTTTTTACCATCGGCAAACGTATTTTGCGAATTTCTTGCCAAAAAATACATATTTTTCTAGTACAATACATCTTTAATTATTTACTATAAATTATCACTGTTTGATTGCGTCTGCATGATAACCGTCTTCAAATATGCAAATGCTGATTAATTCCGACTTCTGTTTGCTATTTTTACAAACAATTCACTAATTTACACGAATCGGTATTTTTTTATGTATTTTTGAAAGTAGTGGAAAATAACTGTGTTTTTGATTTATAGAAAAATTATGATAAACAGGTTTGGAGAGAGAAAGAGCCGGGTCAAGTACGTATAATAGATTGCTGCGATAATATTGTTTTAATTACGCGTCGATTTAATTAATCGGCTAAACGTGATTTCAGATATCGCAACACGCAATGGGAGAATCATACCTTCATTTCTTCTCAGCAAACTGCCTTTCGCGATAAAATTTGCATTTAACGTCGCACGCGTATCAGCAATCAAATGTAATTGATCAATAAATTAATAAATGAATGCCTTGTCAAATTAGATCTTGTTCGATATCATTAGACTCGATGTGCATGTTGAAACGAAATGTCGCTGCAATCTTAGCTAAGGAGCCTGATCGCGTTACTTTATGATGAAGACGTCATTCGGAAGATCTCCGGAAGGTTCAATTTATCCCACTCTAAACGCGTGCCTTCGCGTCTCTTCGCTGCGTCGTAACATCATTTTATTTCAAATATAATACTTCAATTGCGACGCAAACAAGTGGATAGTTTGACTAAAAATACACCGTCTTGAAAAAAATACAGAAGATTTCAGCATTTAATTGTTTTCGCGCTCATCAAATGTGCACCCATTACCGGATACACTCGGCGCAGACGTTATCTTGCAGACGTGATTCAAATCTCGCGGAGATCAGCCTGCGTCGCGACACGCTTATACTCGACAAACATGTTTTCGTCATGTGATGTGTAAGGTGAGAAACCTTGCTTTCTTAGAAAATATTACCGAATTTCATACTTGTGAATTTTCAGATCTATCATCATACACAAATTGCGATATTGTGGTTTAGACGTTTCACAAACAGCTTCATGGCCGAGGAATAAATCATATGTATATCTTCACGATTCTTCTCTAAATCGCATAAAATTGCGCGAATATTGTCCGAATTGAATGGCGCAACACCAAACTTCGCACAAGCAATTTATTACAGGATTTTTATTTACGATCGACCGAACTTTAAAAAGAGATATTCTAGACAAAATTTTAATTGAGATAAAATATACAACGTTTATTTGCAAATATATATAAAAACATTCAACCTTTTTAAAAATTCTGATATGCGATAAACTTTCGCTCTTATTAAAATTTTGTCCAGAATATTTCTCTCTAATATTATGCCAATCATAAATAAAATATTACATAAACAATAAATTTTGACACTAAAATTTTACTAATATTTTAAACGCAAACATCGGAAGATAGTAAATTTTCTTTCGACGAATCTTTGAAATGTAAAACGTTATAGAAAACGCGATATGATATCATTCGGTTATCTCGATTATTGCACGGTATTTAACAAGCCGATTCGTTTATTGTCGCTTAATTTGAAAATCATGAAGCATCTGAGAAATAAAGTTTCACAATACACTAATTCTTTTATGATATCTACACTGAGTTTAGATAAGAATACGACCACCATATTTTCCGACTCTTTATTTAACAAATGGAAAAGAATAAGCTATGGCAAATTTTTAATCTCAGAAATTTACACTCCAGATTTTTCTCGGATAAAAATATAAATTTTTTGGCGCGTAAAAAGTATCAAATTTTAAATAGAGCCGCCAAGGCGCGTCATCGGTCACGCGTGTAAAAAGTTTCCGCCACGAGTCGACGCACACGAAGCCATCATTAGCATGTGCACAAATGCATGGACAGACGTGTAAAGGTCACGTTCATTGTACTTGCGGAACACGCTAATTTAAAGCCCAACTTGCCACACGCCTAGTTTCAGCACAAAGTTCATTGCTAAGGTCATTTCCCTAAATCGCCCACGCTCGGCGCGTGTGCTCGCAAATGTAATACGTGCGTAATCTCGTCCATTTTAAGCGATACAAATTTCTTAGTGCGTCAAAGACATCATTATAATGTACAATTATACCGCAATTTACGAGGAAAAACGTACTTTGTAAATTGTGTAAAAAAAAAACTTGTAAGACACAATATTTTTATAGATATTTATGCACTTAAATGCAATAAAAACCATATTATTTTAATCATAAAATATTATTTTTTCTAAAATAAAGCAATGACGAACGTACGCGGAAAAAATGGCACACCGATTAGCGATCTATTTTCACTAGTGGACTATTTTTTTTATCTACGTTTCCGCAACACGTGATACGTCTACGTCAAAGTAAAGTAAGAATCACCCGCCTGATAAATTTAGACCAAGTCCTACATAACGAAAACATAATGTTTGCTAAAGACAATTCAACACGTAGACTGTAAAATGTTATTCATGCTTGGAGAAACGACGTATCGTTGATAAATTGGCAGCATTGTGCGCAGCGGTGCATTTTAAACAGAAAGAAAGATGTAATAAAAATGAACGATGAGAACATTCCATAAAAGTTTGAATGCAAATTTGTATAAATTATGAGATACGACAAAGTAGAGGTACAATTGCATACAAATTGTTCACCAGTCCTTCGAGAAAATTTACAGATGATTGTTACGTATGTGACGCGACTATTTTCGCTATAGTGAACGACGTGCCTCATCGTTGTCGACGAATCACTTGAAGTCTCGTGACATTTCCTCGAGACATATGATACTTAAGACTGGTCAGCTGTCGCGATTTATATTTGTCTATCGTCGTGTTTTCTGACAAATAATCAGCGATGGATAAATAATCGCACGCTTCAAACACATTAAGCTTCAGCTTAATAAAAAAATATATTTATGAAAAGAATTTAAAAAAGATTAATCGCGTAAAGATCTTTTATGTAATAATTCGCGTAAAAAAAATGACTTTTTATTAAATCTTGTTTAAGGAATTAAGGTTGATACTGTAGCTTTTTTGGCAAGATCTAACTTTGGGGCTTTCCACGCGACTAACTTTTGGCAAGTACAAGAATTTTCGTTATAGACTTTCATCTGTTTTTATCGAGATAATTTTAAATCAGGTGCAACAAACCGCTTCAAAAATAAAATGCGAAAGCAGCTGTCACAGCCAATAAATAATTCTTTCACCTGTATATTTAATTTTATGTTATTTTAATTAAAAACTATGCCCAATAAAGCATAAATAATTGACCGAAAATTTTAGAAAAGTTAAGCCTTCTTCAGCCTTGTTATTTTGTTACACAACTACTCGTAATTTCGTGCGATACGAAATGCGATATATGATGTAGCGTCTTAAGTAATTAGTCCTGCGTCACTTTGTAATCCATTTCCACAAACAATGGTTAGCGAGACGCGTATTACGATAACTGGGATACGAAATTTTATGCAATTAGGCGCGTTTAATGTAATCGGTCAGTGGCGTAAACCTTGATTTCGAATATTTAACGTTGATAAGATCGCGAGGAATTCGTCTTGTTTAAATTCTCAAACGCTTTGTTCGGACTCGCTCATCTTTATCCGCTTTGAAGTTTAATTGAAAAAACACTCGTCTGCGCGGTCGAATGAATTAACGCGACGACTTCACGAAGACGATGCTGATCGCTGAAAAAAATTATTCTCCATCGACTTGAAGCTAAATACACAGAAATGTTGGAAATTTTCAACATCGCATGACGGAAAATTACTCTTTATCGTACTTTATCGCAGTTTTGAAGACAAACGGCAGAAAGGTGAATACTTAACGACAGCTTCGCAGGCTATCTGCTAAAAATAAGCAATTTCACAATCCGTCACGGACGACGGGTGTGCGAGGAAAAAGTCCGCACAAAAAAAAGAAGAAAAAAAAAGAAAGAAAATGAGGGTACGATTTTTCGAAGCGGGTTCTCGGGGGAGGGCAAATTGCGAGTGGAGGCTGGATTTCGTTTGGCTGGTTCTCTGAGACACTTACCTTGAGCACGGGTCCGGTTTCGTCGTGCCCGGTTTATCCACGAAAGCGGAGCTCTGAAGAACCACGAGGAACGTGAGGAGCGCAGCGTTCAGCAGAAGACGATACATCAAAACGGAGCATGTCGAGACCATGGCCATTTTTTTTGCTCTTAATTACCGCTTTCGGCGCCTCTCTCTCTCTCTTCGTTCTTGTTTTCTTTTGATATTATTATGCGTGCGTGAGCGCGTGTACGGTCAATTGAACTTTTTTTCTTTTTGTTTTTTTTTAACTGCTTCAATCGAATGTCGCGATCCGATTTACGTTACACAAGCGCGGGCGGGGAGGCACGCGCGCATCACTTTTTCTCTTGAGGTTTTACGGGAAAAACGGCGCGCGAAATGAATGAAGAAAAAGCAAACCCGACACGCGCGCGATGAAAAGTCAGATTTTAAACAGCGTCTCTCCGACTTTCCGCTCTCTATCGAACCGAAAAGCTGTCTCTTCAACGTTATTTTATGAGCGTGCTTTTTTTTTTTAAAACGTTTTTTCTCGTTTTTCCTTCTCTTTCACTCTTGCAATTCTGCTTCCTTCGTTTCACGGTTCTCGCCCGTTCTTATTTTGTCTGTTTTTCGACTTTTTTTTTTTACTTAGGCCCGGCTCGATTCAGTCTCCCGTGCTTCGCTTTATTTGAGCGAGGGATACGAGGGTGATGGCGCGCGGGGATGATCCTTATGCGAGGTGATCCTTACTTTTTCGTGATCAATTTCGGATGCGGTCCCACGGACTTTCGCAGCCGGCGCGGCGGTCTCAGCTCCAACAGCGAGGCCGCATCTCCCCTGCAACACGAAAACGTAAAAGGAAACGTTAGAATAGTATCTCGAGAAGAAGAGAGAATTTAACACTTTCACTGCTGATTATTATAGCTAATTGCACCTTTATCTCTATTTTAACAGCCTGGAGCAGTTAAAGGCTGCAAGCGAATGAATGTCGCTCGAAGCGCTTATCGGCTCCATAAATTATTTCCGCCAAAAAATCGAAAATGCCAGTAGACTTTTGGCAGTGAAAGTTTGAATGGAATCTACAAAACAGCAATTTTGTACCTACTTTTCTCAATCAAGCGTAAGAGGTAAAATGTGAAAATGTTTAACGCTTGCTAGATATGCCAGACGAATTTGAATATCTTTTTAAAGGACGGTTATCACAAAAAATGGAAATGTACTGTGCACAGCGAAGACTGCTCTTTCACAAGTAACTGTTCGATTCTTCTTGCACTTCTGCTTCAAAGAAACGTAATGACGTCTGCAACGTAATGTGATATAATATCCGTGCCGGTAAATCGATCACTTTACTCTCATTAGCTAATTACGCTCAGCATGTTTGAATACAGCGTGCCGCGTCCGCGATTTGTGAGTTACATTAAAATAATTGGGTATGCTGCCGGCACTGCACCGATCGTGGGAGCGATAAATACACCATGACGAACGATCCTGCGTGTCTAATGCGGTATATCATTCGCGAAGGATAATGCCGCGATGATTTCCTGAGAGAGACAATGTGATAATTGTGCAAAAAAATGCGATTTCGTTAACGAATAAAACAGGAGGAAATTAATGTTTTTTTGTCATCTGCCATTCTGACGTCAAATCACAATGAAACTTCCCGTCTCTTTTCGCGAGTAGCGCGAGTAACCTCGACAAACGACCGTGAATAATTTCAAACATTTAAAAAAGTGACATGTGGACGCGCAACAATGCCGCAACAATATCAGTAAAAAATATTTAAAAATTGCGAATTAATATATCATGTGTCGTAATTAATTAACATCGCGCCAGATACCTGCACGTGCATAAACATATTCTTTAAGACTCGTAAGTTTCATAGAGTTCGATGCAATAAATTTTTCGCCATCTCAGCGAATCACCTGAGAAAATAATTGCACAACAATGATCTATCTAACATACTTTTTAAAAACTGAAAATAATTAGTAGTTAATTTGAGAAAATTAAATTATTTAATTCTTACATTGTTATTTACTACATTTAATTTTCTCAGAATGTTAAAGAAGCCGCCATATTATTGTCACACTTAGCCTTGAAACCTATTGCAATTTGCGTAAACATCGTAAAATAAACACTTATGATAAGATCTTCGATAATCTACGCTGAACTAAGATTGCGACAAGTGCGAAATTCCGACCGCGAGATTTAAGACGCGCTTTATTTCTTAATCGCTCGCTGTGCCCGTATGAGTGTGCTTGTTATTTTGTCAATACCGGTCACCAAATTGATAAATCACCCGTGCCTATTTCCGTCCCTAAGTGACGCCGGCTATATTTAGCCACGAAATAACCACGAGTGCGATACGCATCACCTGATTCCTCCCCCACACACATCACAGACTACATTGAGAAGGCAGAAAAAGTCGGAATTCTTTAATAACCAGGAATTATCGGATGACTAATTCCCTCACATTGTTGCAATTCAGCGCGATCGCTGTAATTTTTCAATCAAATAATCAATTTAAAAATTGTTCAGAAAAGAAAAAAAAATACGAGATTAAACTATTATCTTTTGAAGGGTTTTATTTCTTATATGGATGGCTACAAAAACATAAACATGCAAATATCTTTTCACGATATGTGCATGCTTAGTGATGTGCGTTCTGGAAGGTTAATGATACGCATAAAAAAAAAAAAGAAAGCCAGTTGTGTTTTCGTATGCAAGTGCAAAACGACACGGCGCTCGTGATCGGTTATTAACTCGACCGCCGCGATTTAATCGAACAGGATGAATGACCGATTTGTCACAACGAACGTTTTGTCACAGCGGCTTCCCGATGACGACAACGTGCTCTGTCGTAATCACTGAAGAATCAAATAAAATGTCCACAAAAGTAAAATGTATTTTAAGGCTCACAAATGTGACGGAAAGCGACAGCGAAGCAAATATTTACAATTAATGTTGTAATGAAATATCTCTCTCCTCGACGTTTCTCGATGTGTTCAACTACTTACGGGATACACACAAGGGAATCTTCGCGTATATCTTTCCGGTAAAAAAAAGTTGCACGTAGGCACCGCTACGCCGGAGGATCGCGTGCACTGTGATATCGCTCCGTTGCTGATCGAGCGCCAACTCGTTGCGCGTAAATCCCTCAAAAGCGCGATGTATCGGCGACGGGATCTGGCTCGGTCCAATTGCAATCCGCTGGACGATGAAAACCGCAGGTATGCCCGACGGAATCGAGGACGGGTGTGCGCAGAAAACAGAACCGGGGATGAAGGAGGAGGCAGAAGCAGAGGAAGAGAGCGAAGGAGGAAGGGGGACGAAGGAGTACGACGATGGTGCACTAGCCTCTCTCGCCGAGAAGATTCGACGACGACGATGACGACGGCGACGACGACGACGACGACGACTCCTCTCCGTTCCAGCAATGCACGGTGCAGCGTGCGTTGTGCGACTGATTCGCGCGTCCCACGCGGGCGGCCTTTTAAACGGCCTTACGTCACGTCGTGGCCGAGCCGAGCCCCCGGTTGCTTGGCTGCTTATTGGACGGGCACGGTGTGGCGACCGAACCGATTTGTCGACGCGCGACACACACCCCGCGCCGCGATTCCAACGCGTCATCGGCGCGCGATGTGTGGCGCGGCGCGGCGCGGCAGGGAGATCCGGATCTCGAAGAAGCCGCCGCTGCTGATGCTGCGTCTGATCCCGAGCTGTGTGCATCTCGCAGAACGAAAACGGATCCGTTGCGTGCAGATGGTCGGGCGACAATGACCGGGGAGGGGAGAAAGGGGGGGTTTGAACGTGTCACGCGCGCGCAAAATTTTTCAGAGATCGCATTTTCAGCGATGAAGATTGAAATCTAGCACCCGCCGAGATAGAACGAGTCACGAGCTACACATGTTTCCGGTGACAGAATTAGATTAGAAAAATAAAAACATGCGCGAGGCTTGGACGAAGCATGTGGACGAATATTTTGCTAATCCAATATTAAACCAATATTGATATTAATTATAAATAGTGTTTTTAATGCAGAAATTTGAAGAGAGAGATAAGAAAAAACAACCGGCCACACCTTTTGCGATCAAATCTCTGCAACATAATCACAGGTTCAGATAATTCCTAATATATCAAGTGAACATTTTATCTCAAGAATACTATGAAACTTGCCTTTACAGGCAGGAGAATGTTGAAATAGATATAAAAAACGAAATCCACAAGCGCAAAAAGTTCATCGAGTTCTGACGTCTCTGCTAAATTGGTAATTTCTCTATGGAGGACGGTAATGCCAATGACGTCGATTGCTGGCGTAAACAGTGAAAGTATCACGTATGAAACCGTTCAAAGCTTCACTTCTGCATAATTTGCGGAAGCAAGTGTCGAGTTTAAAGGTAACCGAAATAATTAAGAAATCGTTCCACTTTGCGGAGTTATTGCGAGTTTTCTTTTTCAAGAATTTGCAATTCTCTCGACGAAACAAAGTGTATTGCTAAATATTTCCGAGGTATGATCGTAAAACGGTCGTTCGTTTCGCGCAAGTAAAAAGTAGGGCGTATGCTACGGTTCATTGATAGTAAGCGAAAACATGCCTCAAGGTTACGTCAACTAGATACTGAAAGAAGATTAATCGCGCTGATAGAATACATAGCATAAAATCAGTAGATTGAATATTGCAACGCGAATTCTTTCTCGAAATAATTTGTCAATTTTTATTACAGCCGCTGCGTTGAATATTAGACACCAGGAATTCTCCCGTCTCGCTACATATATTTCTTTATATTTTTTTACATAATAATCGTATCGAGCAGAAATCATGGCAATCGCTTAAGTATTATTACGCAAGCAATGTTATATAATTCTTTTTACAATACTTTGAATCATACCATATAAGCTTTCAACTCACGTTTCTGCGGATGAATAGTTGCATTATTCTAAATGGCGGTGCATGCATATGTGCATATGCTCAACATTTGTTTAATTATTCGCCGTCCAACGGAAATTATCCGAAACATAAAGGCTAAGAAGATAAAGTGTATGAATAATACTGCTCTGCGGAATTTAAAGTGCGCTGTTGTATAAAATAAAAAAAATTGTGCATAATGTATTCTCACTGATTAGATTATATTCATATAAGTGGAATATAGACTGCTTTTTCTGATTACGTGCATCTGATTTTGATAAAGAATTATCCCGCCGTTCATCGTGAAATAATATCCCAGAATAATCTTATCGTTTCTATCTCGTGACGTACGTAGTCTCCTCGAGAGATTGGCACATCACAATCACGTTTCTGTTACCGTGTGTCTTCACGGGTGCGCGATGTCGCAACAATTTTGGACCAAGAAACGCACCGATTTGCGTAATTCTGTTCTTTCCTTTTCGCCCCTCGAGACGATTAAAATATCCAACCTGTTAAACCGAAGACAATTTTGTCTTCAACTTTCATTGCAGTCAATTACAATTGAGCTATAGATTTTTGCGCGCCGCAAAAACCCGATTCCGGCGGCTGCGGCATGTAACGCGACTTCTTGTTGCGTCATACATGCGAACCCGCGGACTAACGTGATATTAAGTGCACAAGCACAGTCATTTACCCTTATCACAAACGTCCAATTAATTAATCATGCGTAATCAAAACTTTTTCTCATAAATAATACCGTTGATGTGACTAAATTATAATTTTTTACACTTGCAACTTATATTATGTCGCGTGGATCAAGAAAACACTTCAAATACGCAATTAAAAAGTATTTAATTATTTGTCACGTTACCAAACACGATTTCAAGGCGAGACATCAATAACATTAGCAATTAACATATCTTTCATGCATGTG